TTAAGCAGTATTGAGTTTCTGCCGGTTGTACTGTTCAACCCCTCGTTCTTCCGTCAATACGGACATCGAGAACCCCGTTCTCATGACGACTTTAATACGCCCTTGGCGGCATACTTCCAGAAGCCCGGGTATGGGTTCTTTGATTACCTGCGGGACCATCCCAGTATCCAAAAGCTCTTCATTGCCTCGATGCAGGCGCATCCAAAAAAGACTAATCTCTCCTGCTCGGTGTATGATTACCAAGCCCAGTTGAGACTGGTGGACGATGACCCGTCGAGCGTTGCAATCGTGGATGTCGGCGGAAGCCGAGGCGAGCTTCTCCAGGAGATCCGCTCTCGTTACCCCCAACTGAAAGGGCGGATGATAGTGCAGGATCTGGCGTCTACATTTCAATCCATGTCGGATTCGCCGGCTGGAGTGGAGTTGATGGTTCATGATATCTTCATAGAGCAGCCGGTTAAAGGTACGTCTCCCTGTCGTTTGGCTTCTGGATGCTGACACCAGTCTCCCATTTCTAAAGGAGCGGCTGCCTACCACCTGAAGAGGATTCTGCATGACTGGAGCGATGATAAGTCTCGGATCATTCTGAGGCACTTGGTGTCCGCGATGGATGCAAAGCGGTCCAAAATTCTAATCATGGATGCAGTCAGTCAGCCTGGGAATATGCCTTGAAGAACCAAGTACTGATTGAGGGTTCTGACAGGTGTTGCCTTCGACAAATCTCACCCTATCCGAGGCCATGAGTGATCATTCCATGTTAACCTTTGGAGGCAAGGAACGCAGCGAGAACGAATGGAAGGAGTTGTTGTCGAGTGTCGGACTGGAGATCGTCCAAATTTATCGCGGACCCGAGCCAGAGGCACTGCTTGAGTGTCGGAAAGTTGAGACTTTGGTCTGATAACATAACCATTTAAAAGAGCACTCTGTCTTAGTTTCCTGTCCGCCTGACCATGAGTAGAAATACTAAGGGCAAGAAAAGAAGCCCCTGGAGCAGATTACTATTGCAGTATCTGATTCCGGCCCAAGGCTGGGCTTCCTCTCCAGTCGAAAATGATGATGGCTGAAGAGGTACCTCCATTGCACATACCGCAGTTTATGACTACCTCTAATTCAGTGATTTTCTTTTGAAGCTGTGGCTGACTTGGAACAACAGCACTACTGTTCTTACGAATGCAATAGCAAAGTGCAAGAGACGGAGTATGTCTATTTATATGCGGCTCAGGCCATCGACAAGTGGCCAAGGACGTACGGGAGATTTGCCCGAGATACGCGAGGCGTGTCCTAGCTTTCTACAACTATTATGTTCCGTTGCGCATTACTGATTTTCAATAATTCGGAGAGCATGAAGCATTTTCTGCAATGCTTAAGTTCATCAACGAGGTCGTATCCTTTGCGCCTGTTATAAGCTTCGCCCAGGGCCGGAATGGAGATGTATATGTCTATTACTTCAATGAAGGTAACCCTTGGGAATGACCTTGGAAAGGTCAAGCTTCACACTTACTTGATATTGCATACCTCTTTCAGAACTACAGAAAGTATTTATGCCAACAGCAGCAAGCTGTAGCAACCGCATTTGCAGAAGACGTTTTTAAATTTTGTTACGGATTTAGTCCTTGGCCTGTCGTTGATAAACAGGGAGACGAAAGGGGTTTTGCGGTGCGTGTATATGGTCCAAGTGATAAAGGACTGTCTGCTACTACAACAGCACAGGCTTATGGGGGTGAAACCATGCGGAGGGAACACCGTCTTTGGTAAGGCTGATAAAGTTTCCTTGGATGATTTGCTGATGGTGGTGCGGAAATACACCAAGACGCAGTCTGAGTCAAATAAATCAGTGGGACCGAGGAGAAATCTGAACTTAATAGTGGGTGATTGTTTTTAATGAAATGAAGGATTCATGGCATTCAAATGCGACTCGGTCACGGACAGTGGTACTGGCGAAAAGAGAGCGATTGGCCTGTTCCTGGCACTCGTTACGCCAAATGGCACCTTCGATCCGACGGCACCGTGTCAACTGAAGCGGAAAACAGCCCAGAAGTCCAATTTGCTTATACGGCCCGTGTCCCACCAAGTTGCAAGTCCGGGGAAAGCTTTCACTCCGCCCCATTCGAAAACGACGTCGAATTCGCCGGCCATTTCAATGCAGTCTTCAGTATATCCGCAAATATGCCAGATGCAGACTTCGTGGTCATTCTATAGGCAGTGAACGAAGATAGAAGCGCGGTGCCCTATAGTCACAAGGGAGAACCTGAGCCCCTCGCCAAAGGTTTTCTTCGAGCAAGTCATCGGCAAATTGGTCCTTTGAAAAGTACGCCCGAGCGGCCCTGGCATACTCACTCTCGCGAGGACATTGCACCACCGCAGCCGAACGAGGTGGTCCAGCTCGACATCGAAGTTCTTCCAGCCGCAGCAAGAATTCGCAAAGGGTGGAGGCTTCGCGTGGATATTTGTCCTTTAAAGTATCAGCCGAATATTCCTGGGTATAACCCTGCTCAGATGCGGGAATGGTATGGTGAGATGCACCACAATCATGGTAGAGTTAATGCGATCCATGTCAGAAATGGACGGCCAAACTATATTGTTTGCCCCGTTCCGCCGCTGGTGGAGGACTACCGAAATTTAATCCAAAAAGGATAGCGGCAGGACAGGGATGGGATAATGTATTACTAGTAGTCCCCGAACAGATGGGTTAAGCTTTCCATTATTGAAGTCTGATTGAGCTTTCCTGATGGACCGACATGTGTAGGTTGGGGCGTGTTCATCCTCCATAGGCCAAGCCGAGGCTGTTAGTATACAGTATGAGATCGTAATCATGCTATGCCTCTTCCGGCTAGTGATGAGTCACGTGCACCAAGGTTGTTGCATCTCAACATCACTCCCATCATACTCCATACTCCATACGGCGTACTCCCTAAGATCTACGCCCAACCTACGCAGACATCTCATATCTCGCTCCCCCAATGGATGAGGCAACAAACAAAGTCAGTGGGTCTCGACCAAATGTTTCGAAGACCTGTGACGAATGCAAGTCCCGCAAGGTGCGATGTGTGAGTAAGTATCGTACTCTCCCTATACAATGAACCTGGGTCGTTCACCGCTTTCAGAGACGCCAGATTCCGATGGGTTGGCTTGCAATTATTGCCATGTGAGTTCTGGGCGGCATTGTGCTGCTCAAATGAGACGCTTACTCGGCTACAGAAACGCGGTCTTACTTGCCATTTCAGTTTCAAGAAACGCCGAGCTAGACAGGTGGTCCAGCTTGAAGGACAACTTGGCTCACCTTCCCATCGATACGGTAAGGTTGGGAGAATCCTTTCGTCTCCTAACCCTAAATCTCTAACTATACCATAGACCCGACCCAGGTTGCCGTCCGCCGCCCAGTATCTGCAGCCGTGAATGATGATCACTCACCTTATTGCCCCACTGACCGAGAGGCGAGTACGTCCACTGCACACTCCATACGATCACATGCCCAGCAACAGCAACTGGATCTTCGACCGGCCAAACTATATGTAGATTATCTGCTTGAAGACCGAAGGACAGCTGCCCGATGCCGGGGCGAAAACTCATTCGTGAAGGTTTGATCGTTCCTTGAACCCGCATTGTACAAGAAACTGATATTTTCTCAACGGAATAGGCTCATAATCAATATGGTGAGTTCCGTCTCATGAAATCTTTGGCGACACAGACGGGACCTAACGGTTAATTTCTTAGTAGGGAGCTCTGGAATTGCATTCTTCTCAGACAGGAGGATAGCCTCCATCTCCGAGCGCTTAGGCCACAGAAAATTTGTCGATCTTATTGACAAGCTTGCAAATACTATCAATATGCGGATGAATCGTACATCCCCTCCTTCATCAGCCCCCTTGAAATATTTCACTCCTGCTGCTCCTGTACAGCTATCAGTGGAAGCTAAAAAGTTATATGTTGCTGGTCAGAAGAGCCCAGAAGCAGTGTGACTGAATTAGATACTAAAGACTCCCAGCGTACTTTCAGCACATACACCCAATTTATCCCTTCATTGACCGGCGAGAGTTTGAGTATAACGCGTATAATACGCAGCTAGGCGAAATACTTCGGACAAATGTCCCTTTCTCGGCTCTGTATCACACTGTGCTTGCGCTCGGCTGCCAGTATCATCGAGGTGGCTCCTTTGAACCAGGCTCAGGCACGTCGTGGGAGCTTTATCAGGTTGCGTTGGGGTTATTCCCAGAGATACTGGTTCCGCGAGAGGCCTTATTGAACATTCAGGTGCGCTAATCTTTGCTACAGTTGTCTCGATGCAAGGCTAACTCGAACAAAGGCAGTAACTGCGATGGTAAAGACTGAAAATTTCTTGATCTAATCCGTTGTCCTAACTGGTGCCAGGCTATATTTGCACATTCCTCGTGCGGTGTCCAGATCAGTCATATGTTGACTACCGAAGCTGCTAGGATGGCACAGTCATCCAGCCTGAGCAGAGCATTCTGCGACACTGAAAATGTTGCTGCATACCAAAGAACCTTCTGGGTGACATATATACTGGAAAAGACGCTCTCTTTTGCGTGTGGCAGGCCTTCTGTACGTTTCTGTCCTTCTCCCAATAGGGTTTTGCTTACGGAACAAGGTCTTGGTTGATGCCGATATTGGGACGCCTGTCCCATATGCTCCAGAGGCAATATTCGGAACCTTCGATTGGTTTCTGGCGATGTGTCGCTTTAGTCGACTCCTGTCTAATGCATGCGTCTCCCTATTTTCAATAAGTACGACTTTAGTGCCTGCTAGCGCACTGCACGCTGCCATTGACGCGTATTTACTCGAACTGGAAGGCTGGAGAGAGTCTGTTCCAGAGGAGTTTCGCCCTGGCAACTTTTTCCCACCGTCGAGGATGTCTGACGATACATACATCTCGATGGCTCTAAGACTCAGTTACCATTACTACAGTGCCGTGATCGCGTTATCCAGGCTCCGCCTGTATCTGCCGCCCGCCAATTTCTATCAACAAGTAACGGAGAGCAAGAATGCGTTACTGGCAGCCTGCAGTAGGATCATTGAGCTGACAAGATATATCGACCTAGAAAGCTATACTCCGATCTGGTAGGGCTCCATTTGTCCGGCCGTGCGAATATGCTCTGATTTTGGCAAAGGGTCATGCTCTCCGTGCCTATGTCTGCTTCGTTCATACTCTTCGACTTCATTGTACACAACCCAACCCATCCAGACACGAAGCGCAATCTTCCCCTACTAAGCATTGCCGCGGGCTACTTTTGCCATTTGGAATACGCCTCTGGTGGCACCCTCCCGACCTCACTTCTCTCCGGCATGGCGTCCATTGCGCGGGACTTTATCCGGGACACAGAGTACGGCAGCGCTGATGGGACGACAGGTAGCGAATCTCTTGATGATATTCTTCGGCAGCCAATGACGATTTCGCCGCAACTTCGAGACCCTTTGTTAGGCTTGGTAAGTTTACCACATATACTTCGAGTGTACCTTGTTCTAATTCTCCGATTTGATAAGGGAGAGCCTGGTCAATCAGATGATACCTTTGCAGCTAACCCGGGATTAGAGAATCTCTCTGACCCTGTGGACAATTTGGATCTGTCTTCGTTGGATAGGTTATCAGGTGGCGTCGACTTCATGGATTTGTTTGCTGGTGGTTTCGCAGACAGTATGCAGTACTACTCGCAGCACGATCCCGCTTAACGGACAGATACGAGCGATCAAAGAGGGTCAACGCACGCCTACTGGGCATCATTTAGCTGTAGGTCTACCACTTCTGTTCAGATGTCATCCCTAAGGCTTGGAACAATATTTCATCCATTCTTACAATTGACTGGGTAGTCTTGAACAATGTCCTTCGGATACCTCATCGAGAATAAGCAGGCTCGGAAAGGAAACTCCGGTAGAGTAGCTGGCACTCCAACTACGCAAGCGCAGCACCGGAGACCGACGACTCCACTGCCCTGATTTCACTTCTCATTCCGGTGTACCCTGGAAATGATCGGAGCAGATTGTTACTAGTAGTAGGCATAGTTGCTGCACCAAGTACTCAGACATGATGAAGGTTTCGAAATGCCGGAATACCGAAATACCGAAATACCGAAGTTCCGAAACCCCAAGCTCAAACTCTATTCTCTATTGATGCAAGAGTGAGGCAAGTGTATAGACTCTACGGAGTGCGAAAATTTCAGTGCCAAGAAAGCTACTTCATATTTAAGTTAGATTCACCCACATTGTTATGATCATGCAGCACATTCAGACGTACGAGTGATTTCTGTATTTGCTTTTCCAACGGTCTTTTGCACCATCACGGCGAAATCGAGACCCAGGATGGAGTCGCCTCAGAAGGTATAGAATTTCCCAGACGTTCACTGCCGGCAGACTATCGGTCAGATTCTAATGTGAATACATTCCAGGCCATCATCATAGGAGCCGGGCCGGCCGGTCTGGCCGCAGCACTCCGTCTCCAACAGTATAACCACATTTCCGTGGTTGTATATGAAATTCGCCCAGAACCAACGACACTTGGCGGCGCAATTGGAATTCCGTCTAATGGATTAAGGTTATTACATAGACTCGGATTGTATGAAGCTCTTAGAGCCAGAGGCTCTGAGACCTCGAACCTGGTTCTGCACGCTGTCAAGGGCAATGCCCTCGGCACAGCGGATCTCACCTCCTGGAGCAAGGAGAAGACTGGATTTGGGTATTTGAGGATACGGAGGACTAGTCTGATGGAGGTCTTTTACGATGCGGCCAAGGAAGCAGATATCCCGATCCACCATCACAAGCGGTTAGTGGGGATAGCTGAAAACAGTGAAGGAGTCACCGTGACGTTCGAGGATGGTACAAGTGACACGGGCGACGTCCTCCTTGGCTGTGACGGTATACATTCTGCAGTTCGCAAATTGTATGTTGATCCCGATATGTCGCCCGAGTACTCGGGGATTTCAAATATCTTTTCTTTGCTGCCGACCTCAACGCTGCCACCAGCTGCGTCAGCCCTTGACGGGCTCAACGCAACTCTGACAACTGATGGGTTGCTGGCATTATCACCGTGCACCCCAGCTGGTGAAATGATCTATTGGTTCTTCTCGCGGCAACTTGAGATGCCTCCGGGTGGTGACAGCCGAGATGGATGGGAAGAACGGGGTAAACAGGAGGTAGAGAACCTCAAATCTACCCTGCTCGAACTGCTGAAAGATTCGAAAGGCGAATGGGGACGTTTGTTGAAGGAGGTTATCCGCCAGACGGAGGTGGTGAAGTTCTATCCGGTCTTCAGGATGAGGTTAGGTGGGAAGTGGTCTAGGGGACGATGCCTTATTCTAGGTGACGCCGCTCACGCGATGCAGCCTCACGCCAGCCAAGGTGTTTCGATGGCGTTAGAAGACGTTTTCCTGCTGTCGAGGTTGCTCGAAGTCCCTGGGCGCTCGCTGGATGATGTTTTCGCATTGTATGATCAGAAGAGGAGGCCTCGGACGGATGAGATGACTCGAACTGCGGAGCGCAATGGAAATGTCCGTAAGAAGACCGATCCGTGGCGCCTATGGCTACAAGAGTGCGCTGTATCGGGAATATTGGCGGTCTATAATCTGTGCAAGTTGGACAGGTTAGGCCTAGGACAGAAGCCATTGGCCTACGATGTTGAGGAGGAGGAAGTTTGATCTGCTCCATATATCTCACTTGTAATATAATCACAGAGTTCCTTGAAGTCCCCTGGCCCACATCTTTGCCTGGATATAAGCTCTAGCTCCTGATATGTTCGCACACTCTACTAGTGATCATGGACCCCCCAAGTCCGCCGAATGGACCCCAAGTGCGGCAATCCGGTGGAGCACAGAAAACCGATTCTCCGAGACCCGTAGTAAAAGCAAATGTTCGGGGAACTTGATAAACTAACCATTGAACTCTGTTCTCTTTCGCCAATTGGAATGCAATGAGAAGCGTAACCCCGCATTTTGTCCGCTGTCAAAGTTCCTGCAGTATGTGTCAAATTTCGGAGTGATAACATGTGTTATGTAGCTTACTCTCTAAGTTCTAAGTCCGTGGTATCTACGTGCTGCCATAAGGTGGTAGATGGTTGAATTCCCTGCCTAAAAGAGCCGCACCAGGGCAGTGGGCTGACTAAGCTAATAGAAATGTGGATTGACCTGCGGTCTGAACAGGTCCGAGGAGTGACTACAGGTCAGCCCACCACCCCCCCAGGGCCTCGGACCACCGGCGCCGATTTTCCGAATCACATGCTAACCATTTTAAAACAGCTCATCTCACCGGTCAGATGAGATAATTTTTTACTTTCTGTAAATATTCTGAAAGTTACCCACCATACTTCCCCCAAAACTAGTTCTTTCTCATTATCTTAAACTAGTTTACAATGGCCTCATATGAATCTTTTCAGTACCTTGAGAATGACAGATCAATCATTAATGATCTTGTTCCTAGTACCTTAGTGTTGTGTTGGTAAGGTAATGTACTGAGCTCATCCGACCGCCGGTGGGGTGAGATCACATGATCGCGGATAATCAGCGCCGGTGTTCCGAGATCCCGGGGGGGTGGTGGCCTGACCTGCGTTCTGCAGGGGGGCGAGGACCAAAGCATGAGGAGATCACGTGCAACAAAGATCTACTCTGGGCTCGTATTCGGGGATACCATCTTCACACACTCCTTTTTCCCTTCTTTGCTCAAAAAAGGCTTTCATTCAGTACTTTAGCATGCGAATCATCACCCAAAGCGCCGGTGGGGAGGCGGATGAGTTCTACAACGTCCTCCAGGCTGGGTTTGCCGAATGGCCCACGGACTCCGACCTGGTGATGATGTTCCAGCGCGAGCTCTCGGCGGGAACGTGGGAGGGGGATCCCAACACGGACGATTACTTTTCGAACAGCTACTGCATTACGCTGGCATCGGGGGAGACGGTGTATGGGGGGCTGGAACAGGTAGCCTTCTTCGGGAATCGCGGTACATTCAGCTTCTCGGAGAGAGCGGCCCAGGTGCTCGGGATGGGACGACAGGTAGTTGTGGATTTCCAGGTACCGGAACGGTATCTGTGGGAGTTTCAAGAAACACTGAAGAAGGTGGTGACCTGGGGGGTCCCCAGCCAGATTCCTCAACTAATGGGATTTCCCAACTGACGGATTCCTCCAATGACGCGCGGGCTATTTATTACTCAAAGGAGTCATATCCAACTTTCCCTTGTTCCTGGACGACCGTAATGGAACTACTGTTGAGAGTCGAGAGCCTGAGGGTAGTCAGCGAACGCGGCAACGTCCGAGCGATCCAAATATATTTTGCTGAATGGAGGGCTGGCTCAAGTTGGCCAAGCGCAAGAGGTGCAAGGACTGGCAATGGCAAGGTTGGAGATTTGATCCCCTGTAAATTTACTGCTATGGAAACCTGTTGCTCATGTCTTATCCAACGCTTGATACCGTAGCGCTTTAAGACTATTAGACATGGTGAAATAACATATATTGTTTTCTGACTTTCAAGATGGGTGGAATAGTGCTGCCTAGAGTGATAAACGTTGCTGTCTACTTCGCAAAGTGGTTCGGTGTTTCAAAAGTAGAATTAGTAACTAATAATAGCTATGCTACTGGGACATTATTTGGTCCACTTACCCACTTACACTTGACTGGGTAAGCTTGCGCGGCGCGGGTCATTGCGCACCCTGTTTATCATGTACTCACCCTAAAATCACCTAGAACGCTTCCTTGGCCAAGCACCGGATCTGGGAAAATGGATGTTGAGACATGCGGATTCTCAAGACAACAAATGGCGGGCTGTCGATTAATATTCTCAGCTTCGTGAGAAAATCTCATTGGAACCTCGCGGTCTTTCCAATGTCCACTGTTATTCCAAAGTAAAGCTTGTACATCCGGAGAATCTGATACATATTCTCAAACTCGAAAACGCAAGAACTGTAGATCTCGCTTCTCCTTTGCTGTTGATCCCTCTCTCTCTCTTCGAATGGTACGCTCTCAGTGGAGCGAAGAGCCATTGCCGAATACACGATCATCCCGCTTAAGAATATGTTAGCCTAGTGCACGAAGAAAGGAACAAAGACACCACAAGGGTCAATCTCACGCATAAATAGGGAATTCATTAACCGTAAAGTATTCCAATATTTTTTTTTGCGTAGTCGCTGATACGTCCAGCTGCTTGAAAAGCTAGAGCCGTAGAAAACTCACGTTGAAATGGAGGCTTTTTAGCGTCAGCCAAGGCTGGTCTATGAAGCAGTAACAGAGTTTGTCAAAGCAAGAATTAGGGCGAATCGATTCCTATTAGAGATATTACAGTTCGCATTATTGGTGTAAGTCCATCTTGCCACGTTTGCAAGGCACAGTGAATTTCAGCCTTGATATCCTCGCGCAATGGAGTCACCGACGCTGCAGGTGAGAATTTGTAGCGGACAACATCATTGACTGAATGTATTTAGTGACACTGATGGAAGTTGCAATGGTGCGGGTCGCATACTAATTTTAGCTATCCGAACAAGGGAGATAGTGAAGTAGGCGGTTTCGATCGATTCACCATCTACAAAGTCTTCGGTTGTAAGCTCTTCGACATCGCAGTCCCGTTCGTCAACCATCATTGGCTTTCCTGTGCCGGAGGAAATTTGGCGGTCACGTATCTTCAAGGGTCAGTTCTGTTCACAAGGACCTGAAGGGCCGTCAGAATTCATGCCGTACAAAAAGGACCCACCAGATCTTCTTCCATAGCCGTTTGTCTTCAGGTGGGAGGGCAACATGTCGAGTTGAACGATGCAAACCCACAGTTTGCGCTAGGCTGACGGCGTTACTTGCCCACCAAAAGCTATCCTTGTAGCTTGGTGCTGAGCCGAAGCGAAACTGGAGCATGAACATTGACTGTATCAGACATATTCGGTCTGTTTTGGTGTCTGAATCATATATCTGCTTTGCTTTATAATAGATGGCGTCCAGCCTGTCGGCTTTGCTGTAAGCGCCCACTTGTGTGAATACTTCTGCTGCAGTATGTACCGCACCGATGAAAAGAACGCTGTATTTAAGAAGTAATGGAAGTCCCACGACTCCAGTCACGAAGGAGCTTCGTGCTGGCTATAATCGGATATAGTGGAAGGATCCGAGCACAAAAGGCATCCAAAAGCAGACTTTGAAGAGCGGTTGTATGAGGAAAACCGTCAGCCGCGGCCGGAACTGCCGTAGAATTCTCCTCCATTTCCGAAACATGGCGCCGAAAGATCGGTCGGTGGAAAGATTTGCTTTGTACTTGATTCCTGGTAAGCCATGTAAGCGGAGAAGCTTCTCCAACAAAGGCGATTTGGCCGCTTTCTAAAAAAGAATGAGGTTGCTCCACAGACGTAAATTGAAACGCTTGGGGGCTATCCTGGCTTCTGTCCAGTAAACCACTAATTATCTGGTCGGACAACGCGTTCTCCAGTAGTAAGTGTCCGTTGCTGTCATGACTAGATGATGGGCCTCGGTCGACGGTCGATGATTGCGCGGGTACCAGCCGATGGTCTCTGGCATATCGAACAAAACGTCCCCGGATACCCCTTTTCTCGTTTAGTTAGAATATAGATAGGGTTTGAACTTATCCGTGTACTGACTGAGTCCTTTTCGAGTCTATGAAGACACGTTCAGTAACGCGGGAACGGCGACAGTTAGAGCACGGCAAACCCTCTGATGCTGCATCACACCGCACCCTTCTATTGTGACACGGCCGACAGGCTATCCTGGAGCGCTGTCTTTTCAGCTTATGACTTTACGCACTGGGGAAAGCAACAGTAGGCATCCCATTACTGTTGTGTAACGCATTGGTCTGATCTCGGTGAGGGCTGCCTGTTCCGACAGTATCACGATGGCTACTAACGGCATATGCAGGTTCAAGCGAGTTCAGTTCAGGAAGAGGGGGGACGGCCTCAACATTTAGATACTGCTCAGAAAGTAAATCTGAGGCAGCCAGTGTGGATGGAGACGGAAAATCAAACGTGAATCCACAGGACGGGGAATCCATAATTTGCCGAGACCAACTATTGCGGATGGCAATAGATTTGACTCTTGAGTTCCTGGCAAACTTTGATGGAGAGGCTTGTGAAAGGATTGAAGTTTCCAATTCTTAACCCTCTTAATTAGGAGCCAGGTCTTCTCGGCCCGTCGGAAGCCGCAAAACTCGAAGCGCCGACAATTGGAGTAACGTTGATCATTGAAGGCTAGTGTGTGCAAGAGCATTACGTCGGATGTAATTCAGAAGCTGGTTATCGTCGCAGGGGATTGTCCCGGAGGTTTAATGGAGTTACTATCGGATTTAAAGATTAAAATTGTACAGATTACAGGGAGTATATATATATATATAGAGTTATGAGACAGAGTCCCACACCATCAAAGATGCCCAAGGCAACCCTACTTGCAAAACCAACCTCGCAACGGAAAGGCTCTACGGATACAAGAGCCATCTCATCTATCGTGAGACGTTGAAACAGGAACTGAGGGCGGCTGTGAAGGAATGTAAGGTCCATGTCGAATACGAGTCGAGATTCGAAGGGGTGGTTGACGATACAGCCAAGGGCGTAACTTTTCTCATTAACAGCCGGAAGGAGCATGCCTCGCTGTTAATTGGGGCGGACGGCATCCACTCTACCGTACGCAAGCACCTTACTGAAGCAACACCTGAGTACATGGGCTTGGCCTGCGTCTACGGCCATCTGCCAACGAACCTTGTTTCATGGCTTAGCGAAGAGTTAGACAAGTCTTGTACCATTCAAGATGTTCCGAGTTCCTGTTCATGATCCCTGACGTAAAGGATGGCTCGGATCTTATGGTAAATCGGCAGTTTTCTCACCCTGCGCTTGGTCGCGCTGGTTGGTACGCGTTGGCAGCAGATCCGGACCAACTTTACAATTTGTTCAGCAAGGATTACGAGCAATGGAATGCGCCAGCAAGTTTGATCATGGACCAGCTCTCGTTAAGAAAATGGGGACTCTTGCTCTGGCCTTTCCGTCGTATGCCGAAGCTGGCAGAGTGGGCGTCTGCCACCGGACGCACCATAATCATCGGCGACGCCGCTCATTCCATGCCACCTTCCTCAGGCCAGGGTGTCAATCAGGCGTTTGAGGATGCTTATACCCTCACCTTGCTCTTAGACTCGCTCCCACCCCGGGCAAACCTCAAGGAGGCATTATCCTTTTGGCGGAACCTGCGGCAGGCGCGCATCGATGCTATCCTAAGGATGGCCGCCGAAACAGACGCCAGCAGACTTCCCGAGGCTGAGAGACACGACCATGGCCGAGGCCAGCGATGCCATGATCAACGCGAGTCGCACGCCTCGGAGGATCTGCAATGGCTATATTCACCTACTATGGACGACGATATTGCCGAATGGATCAGGACTCAGACCTAGCTATGAATGGCTAATATATATATCGGAAGTTTACCAACAGCAACATCCCCATTTGTGTTCGGCCGCACAAATCCAGGCAGAATAATCTCCACCTTTATTACATATGTGTACTGTAGGAATGCATAATCAAGATTCCCAGACTGGGCCTGTACTGGGTGAACAAAGAAATATATTATCTCTTCGGACTTTTACATTACTTAGATATGGTTCAAGGGAAGTTTCAACTCTCTTAACTAGTTAACTATGGTTAGTGAATTTCATGCAATCTTCCAGTGTTGGGTTGGTAGCATGTGATAATATACCAGAGGGCAGCAAGTTTATATACAGGAAGAGATATAGGATGCCAGTATCATAGAAACTAAAGACATTTAATGGCCTTACTAATTCATTTAATCTTACTAGCATATGCCAAAACTTTTGGTGCACGCCTCTGTACCATGTGGGCCTTTTTTGACATTCTGGCGTCTTATAATGTAATCAGTAAGCGAGCTGGCACAAACGGCCTGGCCACCTCGTCTGCTATTTCGGCTTACACATATTTTCAGGCCTTAGATCAAGGTATTTACGCGGTTCAAATCAACTCCTCTTGCTGGGCATCACGTACTTATATGAACAAAATCGTTACACTCGCTACACTGAAGTGGTGCCCAGCAGCGAGGTTGTTCCTCGCCTTCAGCCGGCTGGGCTGGCTGGATTCCAAGCACTTTCATGCCCTCTTGTTCCAAAGCTCTTAATATCTGATAGCTACAATTACCAAAAGTAGATGTAGTTTATGTTGTCGTAAGATATATGGATTAGGAGCTTGTACTCAATAAAAATATGACTGTTCATGCTTCTATTTGATCCCTGGAAATGCTTAGGTGTCAAGATTCCTCAGCAAACGCGTTGAAGAATGCCTTTTATTTTTGAATATACTCTGTAGAAGTTTGGCATTTCGGTCTTGTTAATAGCTTAGTTGAGATTTAGTTTGAAGGGAGAAATGAGTCAGTGCAATGTCGGTCACCTGATCTCGTATTTCGAGATATAAAAACTCAAGCCCAGTGCTTCCCGTCACAAACCATTGGCCAAATTCGAATATTTCTGGGTTTTGGAAGCTAAGAAGCTTACGCTCGGGGTGGCATTTGGGACTAAGTATTGAAATCGCCGCCACTGTGCCGATGGAATACACTCAAGACGTCTCCCCAGACATTCTTCCTTCCCCGTTGTTTCGATACCCCTCAAACCATCTCACCGGCGAAGGTCAGCTTGCTACTGGTGCCACGCCGACTCCTCTGATACATAATGTATCAAAGGCTCCAAGCCCACAGCTACGGATGGACCGCTTGAAACGGCCCCATACAAAATCTCGCCAGGGATGCTTTAACTGCAAGACGCGGAGAGTCAAGGTACGCAAGTTAGCGGACGGCCTCTCCACACCACTGAAACTGAGCAAGGAGTAACAGTGTCAAGAAACAAAACCAGCATGTTTGAACTGTCTACGCAGAGACCAAGAATGTGTCTACCCAGCCAAAGAAGACGGGAGATGGCGACTAGTGAAGGCTGGTCAGAAACAGCATCCGATACCAAGGTTATCACCAGCCCCTTCGGCATCTCCGCGAATTGGCACGGCCCCTTTCACCAGTGACGATCTGCGCTTTTGGCATCATTTTCTTGCCGATGCACGACCGGGTCTTCCACTGGGAGATGAGGGCACCTGGTCGTCGGAGATACCAGCGTTTGCCCACGATGTACGCTGCTACTCACCCCACCCCCCGAGCCGCAAACTGCAAACATTGTGGCTGATCCCGCTGACTCATGTACAGTGTCCCCATCTCCTCCATGCGTTACTTTCCCTTGGCGCATCATACTGCTGTCTAACCACCTCACAACGGTACAAATACGCCCCTCTTGCTATCGCGCACCGGGGCAAAGCTCTCAAAGCCCTCGGCGCCATTCTTGCTAAAGGCGACAACTGCACTATGACTGAAATGGACAGTGCTCTAGCAACATGCTACGCATTGACCTTCCAAGCTCGCCAAATGAGTGATGGTGTCATCGACTTTGCCGTCATGGTGCGCGGCTGCAGCATCATAACGAACTGGTATGTCCGACAAAGCCGAAAAAGCAATATCTTCAGTTGTCTACAGTCCCAAGAACAGATGATGCAAACGACGACTCTACCATGGGAGCCACAGACCTTGAAGGACGCGGATACGATAGCGGCATGCATTGCAGCTCTAGACAGGCTGCAGCCGCTTCTGGAGACGAGTACGCATTGGACATTCTATCACACACTACGACTGTCATACGAGTCATTACTTATCTCTTACCGACATGCATTTACACAGCTCACAATGATCTATGTCGCATGGTCATGCATGGATAGCTCAGAGTTTCATAGATTCATTGCATCCGCAAATCATGTCTCACGGGCACTATTCATGCATTATATCACTATTGATTCCTTCATGCGACCGGTGTATGCGAAGCTCAACCTCACTAAGAACCGCAAGTCCAGCGGGGGGCACTTCCTGATCTATCGATGGGCAGAGGATATATATGAAGGATTACCAGAGTCCATTCAGGGATTGGTCTACGATCAATTCCAATATCTTGCCTTAGATTTGATCCCAGATATTGCTGTTCACAGAGCATATTTTCCGCAATGGAATCATGAGCTCGCGAGGTTCGTCTCATTGCTGCGCAAGCGACTACCAAGGAATCTTTTGGAATTACATGATATAGAATAGGAATGAAGAAGGGTGAATTGCCACAAAGCTGAGAGTCCCGTATTCAACACCGTAATCTGGTCGCGTTAAGTCTACCTGGCTCAGGACTACACGCCTGCAAGACTTCGGTAATATTCGGGAGCTATTAACAAGATTATGAGCGCAACCTTGTGGACGTGGATCGCCGTTCGCCATTATTTCGCCCTTGCTTGAACATACAAGCGTAGTGCAAGTTGTAACCGAACCTGTACTTATTAGTCCATGTGTGCGGGAAAATGGGAGCACAGTCAGGATGCAGCTGACGCAATCTTCAAGGGCAACAAGCTAGATAACTCAAAGTCAGCATGGATAATATTGAATTAGATGGATAAGATCTTGACACCTACATGGGTAGCTCCTACCTGAGGGAGCCAATGAGTCTGTCTGATCAGTGGTCTGAGAGTCACAGCAACCTCGTTTAGTTGACGAATCAGAACAACAATGAATGCGAGACAGCTCGGTTAGGCTGGAGTCCGTCAATCATTGCTTGAAATGGAATACGAATAATGCGAGTCGCATACAAATGTGAGTTTCAGATATTGACGCATACAGAAATGTGAACAATAAACAGAAGTCTCAATGTAATATCAGGCTCCTCTCCCCCTATAAAGTTCGCAAAATGTCCCTCTCAGTGACTCTCAAGTTGCCTATCCATCACCAAAGCAGTAGAAAATGTTGATCTTTGGCTCACTCCTTATCTTCTCTGTGTCAGTCTTGGCATCAGAACTTACCTCTTCTGCGAACATTGGCACCAGCTTTGGACGGAGTCAACTACCTCTGCTGAGTCTTCCATATGGAAGGTGGCGAGCTCATCATTACAATGATGAGGCAGATGTAAGTCCTCTATCCGCCCAACTACCATCTTGGGCACTAATAATACAGGTTTATGTATTTCGCAATATCCGCTACGCTGCTCCTCCATTGGGTGAACTACGCTGGTCTAAACCGGCACCCCCAGAATTCATTCCTGGCGTTCAAGACGGCTCATATGGTCATAACTGCATTCCTGCTCCAATTCCGGACAACTTTCTTATGCCAGGATCCGAAAATCTCACCAAGGATGCTGCTGAGGGTATGGTTCTGCACCTTGAGTAATAACCAGCCAGCTCACACTCAACGTGCTAGACTGTCTTTTTCTCGACGTTTACGTACCCGGGAAAGTGTTGAGGCAACGTCAAAGCTTAGTTCCAGTGATTGTTTGGATCCATGGTGGAGCGTAGGTCACACTGTCGACCTCTCGCTGTTGTAATTGTTCTGAAACTCATGCTGTTCTATAGGTATGTTACAGGTTCCAAAGACCAGGCAATAGGAATGGGATACTACGAGGGCACATCTCTCATCCAGCGGGCAGATCACGACCTGATTTTGGTAACTATTAACTACCGCCTGGGAGGTTTTGGCTTCCTTGCTGGAGAGCCTGTGCGCGCCCATGGAGTTTTCAATGCCGGTCTGCATGATCAGCGCGCCGCTCTTGCCTGGGTGCAGTCATACATACATCTCCTTGGCGGCGATCCTGACAATGTCTCTGCCTGGGGCCAGTCTGCTGGCGCCGGTTCTCTGATTTATCACCTGATCGCAGAAAGCGGGAACCTTGATCCTTTATTCAAGAGGGTAATACTGCAGAGTCCTTCTTTTGGAACCAACGCAGACCCTCAAGTGAATTACAAGCGATTCAGAGACTTTGCAGCGGCTGCGGATTGCCCAACTGAAGGGGAAGATGCGCTTCGCTGCTTGCGTTTGGCAAATAGCACTGTTCTCAAGAAGGCAAATGAAGAGGTGTATCTTGGTGAATCGTCACCCGTGCCAGATGGGGCATACATTCGAAACCCTGCTGTGTTTGAGTACGCTATTGGTAAGTATTCAATATCATGCATGACTCCCGCCAACAAACAAAAAGGGGATTAAAAAGAAAAAAGACGAGAAAGGGTCAAGCTCCAGAAGAAGCTAAGAATAGCCACAGGAAACACCTGGAAAAATGTCGACTCAGTACTTGTTAGCCACGTCTTGGACGAAGGGAGCCTCTTCCTCCCCGACCCTATTCCCGAGGGCCAGCTACGATCCTTTATCTCCAGAAACTTACCACCGAATTCTACAGAGCAAACTATGAAAATAACGGACCTCTTTGAATCTCTGTACGCAAACTCGACTAAGAAGGAAATGCTCTCTGCATTATATACCAACCTTCTCTCTACCTGCAACCTACGCGCTGTTCTAAAAGCCTATCCAAAGCGCGCCTGGGCGTTTCAATACAGTTTTCTCGACGGCCGTTTGAATGGGAAGCATGGAAGTGATATGCCTGCGACATGGTATAATCCGAAGCTCCAGGCCTCTATAGAACCGCTATTTGCGCAATTCCAGCGGTATCTAACTAACCATGCGCGGACCGGAAATCCGAATGCACCTTGTGACAAGGACTATGGGTTGAAGTTCTGGCCTGAGGTTGTGGGGCTGGAGGATGAGATGCCAGGAAATATTTTCAATATGACCAACTGGGGCTTTGACATTACACGGGACGATCAGATGTCAAAAATCGTTTGCGACACTTGGATGGAGGCGCTCGTGGCTGCCATCGAGTCGAAACGCTGATGCTGCCTTGAAGTGGACTTGGTTCTTCTACAGTTTTATTCGTTGGCGGACTTCTCTCTTTCCTTGTTGTTGATTGAATCGAGCGTCAAACTCAATGAATTTGCTCAACCTTGATAAGGTTGAGCACGCCCTCCCTGAAAACTAACTGGACCGCGCAAAAGATCTAAGTGTAAACATGTAGACCAGCCCCATGAACGAAGGTTTCAGGTAGGTCTGTTTGTTCAGGCATAAGTATCAAATCATCAGTGGTTCTGTCAACTCACATCCCGGGTTTTGGTGCAAACGGCTTGGTCATAAATCGCGCTCAAGACTAATTGAAAAGACTACAGGCCATTAACGCCATAGGCCGACGCAGTATGGGGTAGAAAAAGCCTCTTCCTTGTGACATTTTCAGCAGGGCGAGCTTTTTATTCAATAGAAATATAGACCTGGGAATTAATATACACCTGGGAATTAATTAAAGCCGATCTTATTCATGCACCATACACCTTGTCAAGAGTATCACGTCTGAATGATGTGGATATTGATTGACCCTACTGGACTGTGCTCTACAGAACTTATCAAATGGTGTGACAACATACTGATTTGACAATCTGTTAACAGATTATCCCTTTTCTGCACCCCGCAACAGCTAACTGCTGGGATCTAAACCTCCCTGATATCACCCGTTAGATTACGTGTAATCAAATGATTGAGAGGGCGGTTTGCATTAATAGGCTGTATAGTACCAGTACACCGTAGATAAGCATTTGAAACTGTACAGGCGGTGTAATCTGGGGCTCAGATGGCTGGCTTGTGCTCCCTCACTTTTCCAGTAGAGTCTTCACGTTTGGAGACGATGCCCTCAAGTGACGGGCAAGGGGAGGTCTGGATACACAGCCAATGTCTGTCCTAAAGCAACCGTTCGTAATGTAGATATTTGCTGTCATGGGCATTTCAATAGATGGCTGTGCGAGCCTGTCATATTTCCCCGTGAGGATATTAAGAAGGCCACTGTGAGATGAGACAGCTAGCATAAGACCCCGGCCTGCCCCGCCTTTGTTGGAGGAACCTATTTATCACATGCTAATTTTTCTAGTTAAGCATGGTTCGCGGCAGATCACGGAAGTTTGCACTCTGGGATCCTGCAGAATAATACAACATTCTTTGACGCTACAGCAGAAGGAACAGGATGGGTTGTCTGAATGGCAGGATAGACAGCTTCAAATGTCTTCAAGTAAAGCCTCCAGCAACTAAATTGTTGGAGAGGCCTCTACAAAGGTAGATCAACAAAAGCAGGTCCGGCTACCACCGGCTTCCGGAACGATTAAAATTAGTGTCCAGCTTCTTTAAGACCTGTTTCATTCCCCTTAAAGATCTCTTTATAATACAAATTGTATGTGGCTTAAGGCTTTATTTTGACATGGTCCTGTGTTGAAATCGGGCGCCAGGCGATTTTCTACTTTCAAAAGATCAGCCGGCTCTGAAAATAAGCAAAGGAAGTTCAACAGGCTCTTTCAGTTGATCTCCGAACTTAGGCGAAAAGGAAGACCGTGGATCCTGCTGGGTTATCGACAGTTCAAACGTAATTCTAAGTAAACCTTCCTTAGAATACTTAAAAGAGGATTTCATCTGTTGATTGCGAGATTTACAGATTGCTTCCAATTCGAGCTCGAGGCATGAAATGCTCCCAAATACGAACTGCACTATACCTGGGTAGGCAGGTATACCCGTTTGAGACCCCCCGCACAACAGTGCTCTCACGGGTTTTCAGCACTGCTTGACCTTTTGCATGCTGGTAGAATGTCATCAAGGCCCTACTCAGAAATTTTAAACATGTAAATTGAGTAAATTGCAAGGTGTGACTCTCATGGTGTTGTCGGATTACATCTCAAGCAGGAATGAATGCTGACGAAGGCTCCATACTCGTGTTCGTGATGGGGCCAAAATGCACACGACACGACTTCCGGATGTCTCGTAAAACATAAGTAAAATTTCTGTCCCACATGTAGCGGGCAATAAAATCACGTTTTCTAACACCTTAAATCAGCACAAATACGTGAGCAGGCTCCCTATGGGCGCGGTATATATGAAAGATTGTCTGCTGATTCTAATTAATAGAAGACTTCCTTTTAATTCCACGGAGGGTTTTTCAATATAGACCAAGAAAGACATCGAATCAACGCCATGTCTCTTCCTTACCTGCCCAGCTTTTCTCAAACCACTACGATTCACACTGCTCGCCTTCTGCTGCGGCCATTCAGAGACACAGACATCACTGCACTTCGTACGCTTCGGACAGTCCCGGAGGTCATGCGTTGGACAAGGCAGGGACGCATTGATTTGTCACTAGAGGAGACCAGGAGGTGGATGGATTTGTATATGTCTGGAAGTGACATGTCCGAAAATGGTACACAGGGGCGACTGAGCTATAATTTCGTCGTGGTCAAGAAAAAAGATCCGAATCTGAGCAGTCCTACCCTGTCATCGAGTACACTGATAGGGGATGAGGAAGGCACTGTAATCGGTGTTTTGGGCGTTGTAGCTCTCTCCCCTTCAGGCGATCCGGAAGTTGGCTACTTATTCCATCCTCGAGCATGGGGAAAGGGGTACGCGACAGAAGCGCTTCAGGGCTTCACTAGGGCATGGTGGGAACTGCTGCTTCCCGGGCCTTCCCTTACTCACGATTTGGAGGCGGACGAAGCGTTCACACTGGTTGCTGTTACAGAGAAGACCAACACAGCGAGTGCGAAGGTACTGACGAAATGTGGCTGGAGAGTAGTTGGCGAAGATACAGAAGATGAGGTGGAAGTTTTGCACTGGATGCTTCGGCGACCTGGTTCTCTAGGGTCTCAGGGCATCTAACAGAAGGTCTATTGCGACATGAAGCGCTGATCCAAATTTGAGAAGAATTAAGAAGATTCACTACTATTGAACTCTATGTTTAAAGCATCCAGTTAACAATAAGTTCCCCCCCAAATGTGTCTGGCTGAACAATGTCTATCTGATGGTATTGTCAATTGGTTTCTGTCAGATAGGGACTCGCAACGTCTTTCCAGAGATGTGTCCGACCTCTATCAGCCATTTTTCAGCATTGGACGACCAGAAGCTTCCGAAGTCAATCTCCATACGAAAGGGAGAGAAATATGGAATACAAGCATTGAGAACCCGCCTTCAAGAACTCCAGACCCATACAGCCTAGCCATCAAACAACTGTGTTTATAGTAAGAAGTGAAACCAGCAGCAAATCCAAAACTGCAAGAACGCACGGCATCCTGTAGGAGCTGAGCGCCAAGAGCCTTTCTAACAGTGGTTGCAAAAAGATTATCAGAATGTACCGATGATATGCCTCTGTTGGCACATCACCAGTATGGCACTGCTAATAACCCTGGCTGCAAGGAGAAAACTATAGAGGAATTTAACTGAGCTGTCTTGCTGCCAGTGATGATGGAGTCGGAAATCAGCTCTTTAAGCTCAACAAGAAGGCCTCTGCCCGCGCTGATTCATAAGAATTTCGATTTGCTATTTTAGCATTTTTGGCGGCACGAAATATGGCAGCCTTTCAGCAGCTTTCTTCTGCCAGATTCACGCACTCTTCATTGACTCACCATTCAACACAATAGTCTATCTGAGGCTGCTGTTTTATATACAATTTCGTCTGGGATAGTTCTTAGGGCTCAACTTCCGCTTCATCGTACAATTTCGAAGCCCTCCGCCACCTGTAATAATTGAGGGATGCCGACTGCGATTATCTTCGCCGCATTTTATAAGGTTTATGACTTACTTCTCATGGCCGTACCACCAATTTCCTTCGGGGCTGCCTTGGCCAGCCTGCCCTATGTCTCAGAATTCGCCGCAATGGACTCAAGTAGTACTACTGCTTACTGTCGAGGATGGAGCTGGAGTAAAACATACCGACACCTGGCAGCAGCTTTCAAACAAGAGGCTAACGGGGTATAGTCAAGGGCAGAGGGCAGATATCTGTCTGACTCGTGAAAGTATAATCATAATGGCTCCCCCGAGATCGGATATCGTCAACCAATATATCGCAAGTTCTCTTACGAAATTTGATTACTGTGCGCTGGCTGTTATGGCTACGGATTAGTGCCTCCTTTCCGATGTATACGAAGACGTAGGTCATACTGTCGTGAACTTCTTGTGCACGTGAACTCATGAGACGGCAAGGTCGACGATCAATCAAACGCATCCCCTATCGCGAGAGCAATCACGAGGAGCGTAGTAGATTATCAGGCGTCTAGAACATATGATATTCCGGAAATCGAGGCGCTTGCGAATAAGTATCTCGAACATTTCGGGAAATCAATGGCTCTGTTGGGCATAGCCATGGCTGCGAGGGAAGTGTTTCAAAACTGCCCTGCGAGTAGGCTTGGCTTCCAAGCAATATTAAAAGACGTCTCCAGCAATTGTTAGTGACTGGCACTTCAATATTGAAGCTAAAATTGCATAGTTTATTCGTCGCTAGCAACGCCACACGCAGTCTATTCATTCCATACCTGCATATCACATCGCTGTGGTGGAACCAAAAGCATACTTGGCACAGGTTTCATTGTAAATTACACAGCAACGGTGGTACATCTGCAGGTAGACTGAGATGGTTCGACGACCGGAATTCTCCAAAATTTGCGTCAAGTCGTTCAAACAAGAAAGTGTGTATTTGTGCTCGTACTCCGCAAGTTGAAGCAATTGCGTCCGTACATCGCCGTCCGATTTGAGGCTTTGAGGAGACGAGAATTCGGGGAAGTTGACCGAATTGAGGTTCGATGTAAGGCGGTCTCGCTCAATACTGCCGACATCATTCCAAAGCCTGCCTTCTACAGACATCTGCCTCCATAACCTCTCGGCAAGATATCTTTCTTTGGCGGTGATAAAGACATCACCACCGTTTCCAATCTTACAGATAAGGGCTTTGGAGACAACCGCGCTCTTGACGTCATGAACAGCAGATGTATGCAGCCAGGTATAGAAATTCTGGCCCGAGCGTACAGTGATATGCTCGGCGTCCGAATGCCCACAGCCGTTGCTTAGTGCTCTGTTCGCCCTGGCTCGCTGTGTAGCAGCCAAAGTCGCCATCTTCACTTCTTGTTGCAGATCCAGTCTATCCGAAGAGCTAGTATTCCTAGTGAGTTTCTCATCCAAGACAAAACGGAACCAGAGGTCTATGTTTTGCCGTACGGCTTTGACCCTGTGGAGAGCTTCCTCATCCATATTAGAAATATTGTCTTCATCCAGGCATTGGTGCAGAGAATGATCTTTGCAGAGATTGGTTTCATGGCACAACTTGTCGATATAGTCGACTATCATGGGGATGGCAGAGTCCGGTAGACTTGCGAGCGACCTCTCCATTAGGTCGTCTTCTTGAAACAAACCAATGGAGAGCTCTGCCATGCTGTAAATAACCCGCGTACTCAGGAGACACCCGGGGCTTGAGTTGTTGGCCAATGTCCAGAAGCAGGCGGCAAATTTGATGTACTTTTCTCCCAGGGGCCTTCCAGTGGAAAATACATCCAGCGTCTTCAAACTGTCGCTAAGAAGAATCGCCTCGATTGCTGAAGCTTGTATGACCCACTTTGGTGTTTGCGTTTGGGATGGCAATTGAGAAAAGTATTCTATCATTTTGTAAACCGTGATCGTTGATATGTTGACCAGTTTGGATGGTATTTCGGCAAGTTTGTTAATAGTCTCCTCAGCTTGAACAGCAGCCATGATGTAAGAGTCCGAAACAGTCGGTATGGCATACAAGGTTTTGTCCAACCAAAGCTGGTCGTCTGTCGGCGAGCGTTGGCTTCGGGTCAAAATAAACTCGAGGCCTTTGCTGATTGCTGTTTTCACGCGGGCTGCTATCATCTCAGTGAAACTGAAACATGTCACGCTTTTCAGAATCAGGATGGCATATGCGGTCTCTTCAGCAGAGTTTGAGCTTCCCCAGGAGCCGTCCTGGTTCTGGGTGTGCAATGTTCGGATTAATGACTGAAAGAGCGTGAGCGGTAGCTGAAACCTCATAAGCTTATCTGGTAATGCGGCCAGATGTCCTTCACTCCAGCGCTGGATGTAGGACATCAAGGCTTCGCACATGAGCATCGTCGGATAATAAGGCGAAATATTCTGGCGATACCCTTAGAACATAACGCACAGTCTGTAAAAATGGTTCAACATACCCATTTATCTTTGAGCAGTCCGTCACAGTTAAACCATGCCTCGCACAGGTAGCGAGTGCATTTTTCGATTTGCGGCTGGTAGTGGCCATCGGTCGAAAGCAATACCAGAGCAGTCAGGACATTAGAATTCGTACTCACGCTTGTATGCGTCTCGTGCAGATAGGTTGCGAAATGATTTTCTCGCTCAAACCGATCGACCAACGCCTGGGGCGAGTAGCGTGTTCCTTGCAGCATCAGGGCTACTAACGCCTTGGCCGTGTCATCGGCATCAGCGCACGCCTTGGGGACTATCCACAGCAGGTTAACGAAAGGCTTAAAAATAGATTGATTGAAGGTGCTCTACCGAAGCCAACGAGCCCTTGCTTTTGAATTTCGTCTTCAACTTGGTTGCCAATCTGTATAAGGCGGCTGCTTGTTTCAAAGCCATGGCGTAGCAAATTCGATGTCACCTTTCCGGATTAGAATAATCGGCATTGCAACTAACATGGATCAAACATACCCATGCCCATTCGAATACAGTGGTCGGATATCCTGCGGCCACAAGGCCTGATCCTCGACCTGCACCGTTGGAGATTGCATGCCGAATGTATTCCTCGGCCTCATCATCCCACAAGGGATGATACATGAGATATGCTGCGGTCGCAGATGGAGATGCTAACATACTGCCGAGGACTTTCTGATGTCTCAGAGCTTCAATGTCAACCTTCCCAATCACAGCTTCCAGAGAGTGTAAAAGAGACGATTGTGGGCCGTTGAAGATAGTTTCCAGGTTAATCTTCGAAAGTTTCTTCGACTGAAACTTAGTCAGGTACGTTCGATCAAAGTCGAATGTATGCCCTTCCGATTCCAGGAGATCTAGAATTGCTGGTAATCGAAGTTCTAGACCAACAGACAACGTACATGTTGCCAGCAAGCCATCCAGGCCTTTCAAGGCTGTCTGTAGGAATTGTTTTGCTTTGAGGATCCTTGAGTGTAGATCTTGAAGCTCTGTTTCACAGCAGTTCTCTGCATGTTTCTGTAGAGCAAGAAGAGCCGTTAAGGTGCTAACAATAGAGTCCAATTCCGAGGTAGTTCCACTCCAACTGCCACAAGGACGTTGCTCTTGTAAAATAGCCTGGAAGGCAGCTGGGAATGCCCAGACAGATCCACCTTCCGTGGATTTTTTCACCATCGAGATCCACGCAGTATCGTATATATTGCCGGTCATTGTGCCTATCCCGTAGGTTGGATGGTAAGACTTATCAAAACTCTCAAACAAGCCTTGTTTCTTCATATCGACAAGTAGCGCTCCCGGATTGCCAATCATATTGCGTGATGGATAATACTAGAGTATGGAATACAAAGGGAACTTTGGGTGAATGGTTGGTAGGGTTGATCGGCTCAGAAATGTCTGGCTTGGGCTATGTCTTAAATAAAAAGCATGGGTGTACTTCAACTGGATCCACAGGCATCTGACCCTCTCACTGGGCCACGTCAACTCTAGATCGATGTATATCTCAGAGTGGCATTGACAGAAGCTTAGGCTACGAAGAACTCTCTGGGTACAGGTGTTAGTTACTTGAATACCATGTACCAAACGGTCTTTTGCTCATCGTCCAGCTGCGTCCGCTATGCACAATGCAAGGCGGTCACATAGGCTCTACCTGGAGGTAAACTGGAGTTAGGGAGAATAACTGAATCTTAATATGCAAGGACTAGGTCTCCAGCACAGTACCCATCGTGTGGCGAACCTGAAAAGCGCTCCACGGTTGTTGACACCAATCATCACTGTTTGATTGGCATAGCGATTGATAAGTCCACTATAAGAATAAGATATGTCATGAGATTATTCACTTTTAATTTGATCTGCTTTACTTTGTATTCATTCGACTAGTCAAGCCATGAAATAAATGAGTTTCCGGAAATCACAATACAATAGTTGTATGCAAAGAGGGTGTCTCTCAGCTGATATTCTTCCAATGCATCTCGCGGTAAGTTCAACAATAACCTTCAAATGTGACACAGCATAAGCGTATTTCAAATATCACTACACACGTATACATCCCATCTCACCGCCAACTCCCAACCTCCCATACTGGTTGAGAGGGATAAGAGGGTGGACCTCATAGCCATTGAAATACATACCATACCAGCTGCGCCTTACCACTCTAGCTTCCTTTCGACTCTCATACAGCTTAGCTGAGCTCAAAGGCCTACTCACGATAGAGCGCCTCGCCGGCCAATTATAGGGAGCATTGACTCCAAGTACCTTAAGCTGTGGTACTCATAAAACACCTATCTTTCCTTATTTTTAGCATGGCTTTTCCTTCCCTCCTATAACCCACGCCACTCCCTGACATTATGGGTCTTATGTCTCCTACCGCAATTTTGACATCCGTCATGGAGCAATTCACCATATCTATTATACTACTCGTCATATTTGGCTTGATTTTGCGCAGTATATATCGCCTGTATCTTCACCCCCTCCATCATATACCAGGCCCAAAGTTGGCGGCAATTTCTCATGCCTATGAGTTCTATCATGATGTGATTCTAGGTGGACTGTTTGTTTGGGAAATTGAAAAGATGCACGAAAAATATGGTAGCGCTCAAAGATAAATCAGCCTTACAATATGTTTACCCTTTTATAGGTCCAATTGTGCGGATCAACCCCCGAGAAGTCCACATCAAAGATCCGTATTTCTACGATGAGCTTTATGCTCCGAGCAGCGGGGTGCGAGACAAAGACCCGAAATCCGTAGTGATCTTCAGTGCCCCTACCTCGTTAGTCGCAACAGTTGACCATCAAACGCATCGCATGCGCCGGAAATTACTAAACAACTTCTTTTCAAGGCGGTCGATTGAGAATATCGAGCCGGTTATCCACAAGTCGCTCTCAAGGTTCCTGGATGGTCTTACTACAGCCCACAAGGAAGGCAGCGTAGTAGAGTTGATCGACAGACTACAAGGGTTGACAGGTGACGTGATAACAGAATATGCGTATGGAGAGAACTATGGGCTCCAAGATCCTGAGAACTATGGCAAAGGCATTGTCAAGGTTGTTCAGGAAGGGACGGACCAAATTCACTTCTTTAGGTTTTTCCCTCTCGTTTCGCAACTCTTGCGATATGTACCCTCGTGGTTTATGAGCCAGGTCTTCCCGGCCCGAGCGGCAATATACCAGCTGCTGGATGGTGTACGGAAGCAATCAATCCTCGCGCTTCAGCAGAGGAACACTTCCAATGCTCCCCAGAAGATGACCATTTTCCAAGCTCTTACGGCTCCAGAGGTGCCGCCCGAGGAAAGAAATTTGCAGCGCCTCGAGGATGAGGGGCTGGTTTTGTTTGCTGCCGGTACAGAGACCACGGCGACCACCTTATCTGTGGCTTTATTTTACATTCTGAATGACAAGAGGGTCCTTTCGAAACTTCGCAGAGAATTGGAACAAGTAATGCCAACACCGCAACATCCAACAACATGGCGCGAACTTGAAAAGCTGCCATATTTGGTTTGTACCCTGCTTGTGTATCATGGTCGTCCCGGATCCTGGTTGATAGTTTATTTCACAGACGGCAGTCATCCGCGAGGCCCTACGCTTTTCTGGAATAGTTATGCGACAGCAGAGAATTTCGCCGACACAGGCCTTAAAATACAAGGATATTGTGGTGCCTCCTGGGGTATTTTTTTGACAACCCTTTGTTCCAGCTGACACAACTGATCAACGCAAGTAGACACCAGTCAGTATGATCGCACGTTTCGTACATATGGATCCCACCATTTTTCCTGATCCGACGAGGTTTCACCCTGAACGTTGGATGCTCGCAGCTGGGCGCGATGAAGGTCTTTCAAAGTTCCTTGTGACATTTAGCAGAGGTAACAGGGGCTGTATAGGCCTGAAGTGAGTCCGTTTCATCTATTAATGCCTTTCACACCGCTAAGGTCGCTCACCACAGCTTGGCCTATGCGGAATTATATAATACCCTCGCAGCTGTTGTCCGTCGATTCGATTTGGAATTGTACCAGACGACGCCAGAGAATATTCGGTTCGTACGAGACAAACTTCTTCCACGGAGCAAGGATGGTTGCTGGACGGTCCGAGTCAAGGTTGTTGGAATCCGTGAGGAATAGTGTACCAGGGTCGGGGAACTAAATTTCCTCGCCGTATATCCCTGACATCATGCCTTGAATAGGATTTTATTGGGACATTTTACCAAGTATCCTTCGCTGTTTGTTCAAAAGAAGATATCTCGTTGCGATTCTCACCTGGAAGCTGAGGGGATGTATGCATAATGCAATATGAATACCAATTGATATTGAACTGGGTCTATTTGGCACTCCAGCCATTGCTTTCTCTGGAACTTCTAATGAATAATAGTATTAGGGAAGCTGGGTGGATACGGAAAAAGCAAGCACTAAGGCTAATATGAAGGCAGCCGAAGGACGAAGTCTGGTCGACAGCAGTCCGCCCAACACCTGTAACGAGGGGTTTTCAACTGTTTTGCCTGATACGGGAACTCTAAATTCAGCAAGCTACGTCCAGCAATGTTCTTGCTCGTTAAGAATCAGCCATATCACATGAATACCAGTCTTCAGGAGCAGACAGCTGCGCTAACCGATGAATGCCAATAGTGTCTGCCTAGGAACTGCAGAATTCGAGTTTAACATGTCATATTCGGCCTGTCTGGCAAGGTCCAGCCCGTATCAAACGGCCCAATTTTGGGAAGATTCCATGGAGCCGGAAAAGGCAGGTCCATGGATTACTGTACTGGTACCATATGTATACTACGTGTGGGGGAAAAAAAACCCCGTCATATCTGGCACCAGCAGACCTTTTGTATCTTAACATTTCCAACGTTTTGTCAGTGTTACCTGACGAACCCGTCAATATCAGCCCTAGGACACATCATAGCACTTGGTAGCCTTGAGGCAACATGTTCAACTTGCGGCATCAGGACATGGCAGTGACAAGACGTAGACAGAAATATGCTTTTATTTCATGGATCTCATGGTGTCATCGCGCACTGTCAGGGTATAAGGCTAGCCATTAGGTGAGGGTGCGTATGGCATGGATACTCTCTCCAGAAGAGCGGTGTCGATAACCTGTAAATATCACGTTTGAACCCGGTGTTCTAAATCATAACAGGGCACCTTTGACCCTAACATTGACGCGCTACATGGAGAGTTACAGAACGATGTACAGGGGACATGTCATCGCACAGCTCTTTGGTAGTCGGGCTCATAGTCGTGCATGCGAGTGTGACTCCAGCTTCAAGCGGAACCGTTCTCTTAGCTCTTGCAGCGTGTTGAAGTAGTCACGATAGCTCATATTTCATTTCCTCCCACCCAATCAATATGAGTCCGTACGTGCAAACCAGCGCGACTTGCTTGGTAGTATTGGCTCACCATGCAGGATTCGAGGCTCCATCTACAAGGTTGGGTGCATCCCCGTACAAACCAAGGCCAACCTGACAAGGCCGAGTTTAGAATTTAATTGACGAAACCAGGGCATGCTGTCTCTCAAGCAATAGCAATAACTCCCACGAGCCGGTTTCACAGCATTGTTGCCGCTTCCTGCCCTACTGTATTGAGTCTTCAGTTTGGCGGATCGGGATGGAGATGAGCCACTGGCGCATTAGATCCTGCATGTATCACTGATGTTAATTCGTTCGAAGTTTGGCCCAGGAACGATGTATACTGCAGTAAAGCCATTGTAACCCGCCCACTTTGAATTCGGGAAGCGCCCTTGTTTGCGATGGATCTGGCATCGACCAGCCCTTACATATGAGTTCGACCAAGTTCTATAAATGCAGCCAGCCATCGCTTACTCTGCCAGAGCCATCAACAGAATTTCCCGCATCCGAGTGTGTGCTAATGACAGTCCCTACTCTATTGTGATTATTCCCGTAACCGACTGGCAATGGGCCAAACCCCTTCGGTTCCGAAGCCCGGAACCCAAATCCAAGTCATCGGCGCCGGATTGCCTCGCACTGGGACTACATCCTTTAGCGTGGCCTTAGCTATCCTGCTCGACGCGCCCGTCTACCACTGCAACACCCAAACCACACGCGGCCCACCTTCGGAGCTAGAATCATGGATCCGCATCCTCCACGCATGGCTTGACGACGATCGTCGCACTGTCTTAACTGTCCTCAAACCCTGCCTGACTGGCTACGCGGCCGTCACCGACACTCCGGCTTGTCACCTTCTCCCAGAGCTGCTGGAGCTCTACCCCGATGCCAAGGTCATCTGTACAGTGCGCGACCCGCTCGCATGGGAAAAGAGCATGAAACAAGCGCATGGGCTTACGAGAACGTGGTTCCTAAAAGCCCTCCTCTTTCCACTGCCGGGCATGCGACATTTTGTGGACTTTACTTGGCTGCTACGGCGGCAGTGGAGCAGGCTGTATGCCGATGGTCGACGTTTGAATTCAGTCGACGAGGTCGCCGCCACCCTGCCACAGAGGGAGACCTACTCCAGGCATCTGGCCTGGTTGAAGGAAAATGTGCCCGCCGATCGGCTTGTGTTCTTTGACGTGAGGGAGGGCTGGGAGCCGCTGTGTAGAGCGCTGGGTAAAGATGTTCCGAAGGACGTACCCTTCCCGCATGAGAATGACTCGGTGGGAATTGAGCGCACCGCGAAATATCACATCCGACGGGCGTTGATGCGGTGGGCGGTGATTTTTGCTGTGGCTGGGGTTATTATCGTAGGCGGTTTTGGGGTGTGATGCGAGTTCGAATACAAAGACTCGATACCGACTCGTAACATGTTTTCCCATTACATTCCGTTACGGCGAGATTATCGCCTTTAGAGGTTGGCGCAAGGGGGTTCGCCTTGCGTCAATCCTACATTGCCGCCAGGCTCTAGATAGCAGTAGTTCGATTTTAGCTTCATCCTCCCTACTTTGGGGGATGGGTTCGGGATTTGTCTGCAGTTGTTTCGGGCTGCGATGCTTACATTGCTCTCTGGCTGCGTAGTCGGGTCTATATGAGGATAGGGGGTAGGCTAGGGGCTGCTGGCTGCCCTGTACATGTCCTACTAACAGTAAAGGATCGCAGCTCCCTTTTATAAGTCTACCTAAGCTCTGAAGGAATGTAAGGGTCTAAACAACTATATATATGATGATGATAACTAATAGATATCTCTAAATGCTTTCATAGGCTTCCTTAAAGCCATATATATACCTTTTGATATCACATTATTATATGTCAATTCAATATAACTATTTGAATCATTTGATATCCCTATTCCCTACTATAACTTACGGTGAAATCTACGGTTATGGTGCGGCGCACCCACACAGCCTCAGTGTTGGTTGTGTATGGCACGGATACTTTGGCAACCCATCTGGGTTTATGGGTCCATTTCCATGCGGATTGTGGTCCACCCATATCCATGTAGGTTGGATCAGGGTTGACCCCATCCAACCCAAAGTGTGGATTTGGTGGGTTGGATATGGATTTTTGGATTGGTTCAACCAGTCTACATAATTATTATAGTCTCTAGATAGAGTGGATATAGACTCTGCTAAGGCAGAATATGGACTCAGTATAGTGACTGTGTACTCCGCGCCTGATATCATTAATAAATTAAGAAATATAAGAAATATTTGCTAAATGCTAATAATCCCTGAAACCAAACATCTATTAATGACTAAGGAGGGACACTCATGAAGGTTGACGTCATGAAGTTACCATGCACATCCAGCACGAAGATAGAGTAACGTATTCAACCACCGAGTCGCGGATACCACCGAACCGCGGATTTGTATTCCCATACAAAATGGCATTTTTTAATTTAGAATATCTCAGCCATTTCTATATCGCATAGGAAATTACTAAAAGTTAAGATAATATAAGTCTACTTAATTATAATGCACTAGATTTTAATCTGTTATTCGCACTATTTCCCTAGATATTATAAATTACACTGTATCATAAGGCTGCTTTATGTATTTGAGACTACTTTAGGTTTCTTCATTATAATAAAAAGAAAATCAATTGGCTCGCTTATGTTAAACTTCAGATCTCCAATGTATATTATTAGAATAGAGGTTATGGTTGAGATAATCCAAGTTAAAAAGTGCCATTTTGTATGGGAATACAAATCCGCGGTTCGGTGGTATCCGCGACTCGGTGGTTGAATACGTTAGTCTTTGCTACGTTAACCAGCACATTACTGTATAGTGCAGCTTAAAGTGCATATTTTATGAGGACTGAGAGTGCTTGTAGATAAGATTATGGCATATTTTAGAAGCATGTGGAAATTCACCCTCATAGATAGCCGATATTACAAGCAGAAGTCCTCCCTCGTACTCAACTAAATCTATTGACCGTTTTATGATGTTGGAGACGTGATATGCCACTGAACAATTTCAGTACGCCAAACACGTGCGGGAAACACGAGAAAAAGGCGGCTCGCTTGTGGATTGTTATGTTGAACAGTGCCTTACTGGGGAAAAGTAAAGGTTCTGCCTGGCCCGCACCACCCACCACGGCGGCAACCCCGCACTGGTCTGCAGCTGATTCATTGTACTTAATCATACTGGTGGCCAGTGTGGGAGCCATGGTAGTAATCTGTACCTTGAGCAGAAATACATATATGTGTATATAACCTATATACTAATGTAGGAGACCACACTAAATTCCGAGCTTTAGGATTTTGCCGATGGTAATTACCATGTCCCACCCATTACCTGCATCCCTTCAGGCAGCCTGCGCTCATCCGGACTCGCTATTCACCCTTCCAGAAGCGGATCTCCTGCGCCTGGTATATAAGGAGTTTCCCCAAGAGATCGACCGTCTCAAGAGAGCATACTCCGTTCGGCCCCGTCACCCCTCAACCGCGCCCAACACCCCGTCGCCCTCATACATCCTGTACCAAAAAAACTATGATGAGGTAAACCGGACGCTCGTAGCACTCCTAACGCTACGATGGATTCACACGGGACAATATGAGATCTTCGTTGGTTCCCAGCCTCCAGAGCTCCGCTTATCTAGCTCCTCATTCGATTGGATCCGGAAATTCTACGCCCAAGTCATCAAGAGCCCTAACGATCTCTACATCCTCATCACCTCCGTCGTCATTAATGATCTAGGCAAGGATCCGCAGCTCGCATCGGATTGCCGCGACCTAACGGGTAAAGACGTCGCTACTCTCAACCACGACGCCGTCCTCCTCAACGCCTGCACGACCGCACAGAGCCTCATCCCAGCGCTGGCTCACTTCTCCGCCCCGCAAGACAGGGACAAGCTCATCATGGGGATCAAAATTGGCGCATTATTTAACTTTGGCCAGCTGGCACAGGCAGAAAATGCTCCCGCCTGCCTGTCCGTTTTTCAGACGATGGAGGCTCCTCGCCACCGCCACAGCTTCCAGCTCCGCTTCATGGAGCAACTACTTGATGTTGCTGGCGCGGCAGGTCACCTGGACTGGACCTGTGCGAAAACTCTCATCCAGCCGGTTTTTAACGCGTATTGTGATGTCTACGATGCCTGCGAGGGCGTCATGGCTGGCACACTCGATGTGCGCAGTGGATATGACCTTGTCTTGGCTCGACGGGCAGATCGGCTCCATAGCACGGGATTCCGGTTGCTTCATGTGGAGGAGGATAGAGAAGACCGTGCCCTGATGCGGGTGTTATGCATGGGGAGCGTGACGTCGCCGGACACGGCGCGGCGCTATGAAGCCGCATGGAGGACTCTTAGCAACGCGATCCGGGAGGCGCTGGTAAACGACCTTAATATTGTTGGCTCGAAGGATGAGCCTGCCGTCCAGCCGACGTATATGCCGGCGTTGCTTTGCAGCGTCCACGATGATCAGCGAGCGTTAACATGTGCATTGGGGTATCTTGCTCGGGTCATGGGTGCGACAAAGAATCTGACCGATTCCACACCGGTGGTTGTTGAGAGGAGTGTTTTGGGCGTGCTGAAGCAGTACATTGAGAACAGAGATTTTGACCCTACTGTTCTGGAAAGGGTTGATGTACCAGATGCTGCGGTGACTCTGTAACTGATGCGATATCTCTTATTCACGATCATTAACTGTTATATAATTTTAAAGGCACAGTTTTAGAGCAAGAATATATATATTCTTGGAGCGCGGTCTAGTTTAAAGCCTCTATGACGCTGCATATACGCTTTGCTTTCATTTCCTTTGCTGGATCTAGAGATGCTCACATGTACATAGCCACGGCCTTCGCCGTATTCATTGACGTTGTCAGATTCATTAAACCATCTTCAGCCTACGTCCCATCACGACCAATTCGCTTTTTATGCTTCATCTTCTTCTCAAAGTACACACTCATCCACTCCCGATTCCGGGGCATCAACCCCCAAGCCGTCATGTGCGTCTCTTCCTCCTCCGTTAGGCCCAACCAAGCATAAAGATCTTGCCGGCGTTCGACGATTTTCTTCTTGTTCGGGGGAGGACGAGCAGGTTCCAGGTCAAGGACGGCTCTTGCTCGTCTCCTTCCACCTTTCGTCTCGACGACCGTCACCACCTGAGGTAGTTTGGGCTCCCCTTGGTCTTCGCTCCACTCGCTATACCAATCCGGGTAGGACGAGACAGTCGCCTTTAATCTCGACCCCACCCAGCAAGTATATGACCAGGCCTCTTTTTCATCGTCGTCGTTGCGTTTGCGGTTCATAACTGCCTTCCAAATCCTCCTCCCCATGTGCGAATCATCACAGCCAAACTTGAAGGCGGTTAGGATCGTCGCGGCGACCATCACCACTACTGTACATATTTGCGTGTATAGGGCCGACATGCCAATCGCGACGACGTGCACGCCGAACGCGACCCAGCCCAAGAGCCGGGTCGCCTGGTAGATGCCATGATTTGGCACATCCGGGGTGGTCGTAAACAGTAATTGGATCAGATGAGCGGGTGCAGCAATCGTGACAGCTTTCGACTCGTCGGTTATCACGATGACCTTGGCGATAGCGAAGGGGTCCTTGGGCGCGACGGGAATGGCCATGTGTTGTTGTTGGTGTTGCTGTTTGTCTTTCTCGAGATTCATCATCGTTTCGTCATATTTGTCCCGTTTCTGCGGATACTTGTAGTTGCGCGCTTCCTGCTGCGCTCGACTGACATTGGCATCTATCCCGGCGCAATTCTGCGCGACCAGGATACATCGCACAACCACAGACACTATCATCGCCATCACATTCGCGAACCCCCACCAGTCCGCCGTCAGCACAGTCAAGGCAATAAGCATCCCGTGGACCGGCAGCGCCACAAGCAACACGCTAACAAGGAACGTCTTCCACCTTGAGGGCCGTTGATGCTCAACAACCTCCCAGGTAATAACACTTCGCGCCTGACGCAGTTCCTGCGCGCGCAGCCATCGTGAGAACCAGCCCGCCAGCTCAGTCGTCACGATTCCTGCGGAGATGTTGTACAGCGTGAAGCCGAACTGCTTGGAGGTGAACCGGTTTCCTGCCACGACGAAGGCGCCCAGGAGAGGCAGGTAGTCTAGGTAGTGGCTCGGGACGAGCCGCCCCACTGTGCGGTCCATCTCCTCCGCGCCCAGCAATGTTACCAGGCCGAGCGCGTCGATGCGTAGGCCTGCTTCCTCTGCCCAGGTGTTCAGGCGCTGGTGCCAGGGATACATGGCTGATTATGATCAAGACTGACTGCCCACCGGTAGTCAATGAACATATTAGTATTAGTACCATGAAGAGAGGGGCTGCAAAGGCCGTTTAATAATTAGTCATCCTTGCTATCTGCAGCGCTCTGCCAGCCTTGGCCTTCTTCTTTCCTTTTTTGGGGGGGGCGGGAGAGCAGAAATCGTCTCGGAAGGAATTTAACGATAACTGTTTTTCGCGAGATAATGGGGAGATTTCTGAGTGTCTTGCAGACGTACATAGAGGCACATACTCATGCAGACGTTCCGTGTGTCTATGTACCTAAGCCGGGCTCTGTCAGCCTCAGCTGCAATCAGAATTAGTTAATCAGGCTGCATTAGACACCGCTCGAGCCTTGACGCCAGTCCCGAGCAGTATTAGCCTGCCGGCCCCCAACAATACTCAGTAGAATTCAAAACATTTGTCAGCCGTAATATTATGAATGATGTCTGACTGCGATCCCCGCGAAAATCGGAAAAGACAAGCTCAAAAGAACAGATTAGGTGAAAGCAACAGTCCAACCCGAACGAGGAGGGGGCCCTCTCTCCAATGATCCAAATGGGGAAGAATAGGGTTCCATTTCAACGCCGTGGACATTCTTGACGATCACTAGTTGAAAGGAATAGGAGCATTCAAAACGCACTCTAACACTGGTAATTTCGTCCCAGCCGCCCTAACTACTCTGAGTACTTCACTCTGACGTGAGAACTAGTTAGTTACCTGAATAATATATGACACATAAACTCAGTCCACAACTGCAGCGCTGACAGACCAACCAGCAGCGTCAGACCTTGTTATGGAGGGTAAGGGACCCAGGCCGAATACGAGGGCGAGGCTTAGCGGGGACAACACGGACGGGCCTCGTGCCGTTCCAGACCCCCTTTTACACCAAATGCTGCATACAAACAGACTAGATCAGCAGAATAATTCAGGGAACTAGTAGTAGGCGATTTCGTTAGGCGCTGCGGACTGTGAAAGGGGCGTCCAGATTGCTGTCAGACCACAGCATGTATTGCGCTGATTGGGTGTTAAGATGAGTCTGAAAATATCATTTACCGAGTGGGAAACTGACCTCCGAACTAAGCATTTGTTAGCTAGCTGCGAAAGAGGTGTCAGATCATTAATTTCCACAATTTTGCGCACGAGGCCAAGACAGCCTCGTCTGACAGTCAGCTCTCTTCAGACGAGGTTGAATATTATATAGCCGGTGACTGCTCGCCGCAAATAGGTACTCAGTAGGGAGATAATAACGCTCCATAACAGGGGTGGAAATAGGAAGCAACATGGAAAAGACAATGGCGGCATCTTCACAGGTTCCCATCACCAACGAGCAACAGCAATCCCACCATGACGATAGCCATTTCCATCTTCCCTTCGTCAGCACCAACCGGGCAAAGGACCATCTCACTAGACAGTACAACGGCAAATGGTCGATAAGAGGGCGATTCCGGCGACCAGCCATAACCACAGACCAGCTTGATGATCGCGTGCGAGAGCTGGAAGATGCCCGCGGCGTATACAGAAAGCGACGGTATCGAAATCCTGATGGCGACAACTCGCACGAGAAGTATCCCGACCTCGACACGTACTACAGCACCAATAAGGAGATCCCTCGTCGGCTCGCTGTGCAGGCGACCCCGGAAGCGCATAATGATACTCGGCCTCGGCATTGGGGTCTGCGCAAGATCAAGGGTCACTCGCCGCTTATTATTCGGTTGGCGGAGTTTTGCTTGAATCCGCTTGGGTATGAGTATGATGACGAAGGGGAAGATTATGACGATGACGAAGATGATGCGATCCCCCATGAGAAGCAGAAGGAGAGGAGGAGTTTGGGCCTGGTGATGACAGATCTTTGTCGACGGACCCTGCATGCCCTGGCGTCGACGGTCTGCACGATACTCCTCGCGTGGGTTATCCAGTTGATGCTCTCTATCCAGATTGTCACCGCGCCATGGACAGATGACGGGTCGAGCGAGCCGTACGCGGAATACGAGAACGTGCAGTGGTACTGGCCTAAACACGCAGTCAATCCGCTCGATCAGGCGCCGAACAACGACAAGCCGCAGTCGCAGGTCGCGAGACTGGCGATCCCTCGCCGCCTGGTGGTCAAAGACGCCGCCACAGGCCGGTGGGTGGCCAAGAAGACCAACGACCTCCGTGATCCGAAGACCGGCCTGCTCCCCCCGTACATTTTCCTCAGTTTCTCGCGGGCGAATTTCCTTGGCAAATCAGACGAGGCCCTGCGGCCTTTTTTCGATCGGGTCGCCGAGAGCCTGCTAGCTCATGAGAACGAGCACAGCCAGGATGAAGTACCGGTGCAGGCGTTCTGGGTGGACGTGTATTGTGTCTCGCACGCAAGCGACGAGCAGAGGACCAGGGATGTCCACACAATCTGTGACGCCGTTCGCTGTGCAAAGCGCGTGTATGTGGTCCTGCCCAATGACGATCCGGAGCACAAGAAAATCTGGGGTGCGCGCATTTGGACCTTGCCGGAGGTTTTACTCGCTGCGGACAGAATTCGATATTGTTTCTCGACTCCACCTGCAGCGGGAGACGTATACGATAGCCAGGTTACCTCAAGACCGCACGAGCTCACATTGACCGATATGCTCGAGAGCTTCTGGCCCGGGACCAGCCCCAAGTCGTGGAAGGAAGACGACGATGACGATGAAGACCGCAGGCTGGAGCAGCAACATGAAGAAGCGATCGACCACCTCATCAACCATTACAGCAACTCCGCCAAACTGAGCGAGTTGCAGCTGTTTACCTGCGCAGTCCAGGCCCTAGCGGAGCGAGCCGAAGGGAAGTCGACCGAGGGCTACACGACGACCGACCTGGCCTACGCCGCCATGGGACTGTTGGCCTATCGAATCGTCCCCAATGCCTCGGACAACGCCTTTCAAGCCATCGCTCGGCTCTCGCTCGTTAACGATAGCAACCGATTGCTCGAACGCCTTGCCTGCCTGTGGCCGCACCCAGCAACGAAGAACGATCAGGAACAGGACCTCATTGTGGCCGGCAGCGAGGAGCTTCTGCGCAATATCGCGGATCGCGATCAATACTCGGTCCATCTCTGGGACATCCAACCCATGTGCGATGTCGTGGGTATCGGGGATGACCCATTCACGCCCACCATTATCCTGGACCGCTGTCGAGCGATCCCCATCCGGTGGAAGGATTTCCCGAAAATCAAATATGTAAAGGACCTCAATGGTTTCCGTGCCACCCTATCGCAGAAAATCGTGTACTGCGGCGCTTGGTTTCTAGCAACAGGATTCGGCCTCTTCGCGTCCGGACTCGCGCTCCTCTTCTCGGTTTTGCCCTACGACAACAACAACACTAGCAGTGACGATCGCGCACCGCGGCGGCAGAACGAAGTCCAGCCGGCCATGTATCTCTTGGGTGTGGCTTTGTTCATGGGCTGTGGATGGGTTATCTCGTGGTTCAGTCCGTGGGCGGTGCGACAGCTCTGCAACGGCGGATACACGGGGGTCTCATGCCATTTGGTCGGGTTTGAAGGCACTATGCCACTGGGAGAGATCGAGAAGGCCATCTGTGGCTTCGACAATCAACGTTTCTCCTATGCTGCCTCGTCGACCATATTCTCCCAAAATCTACGCCATGCCAAGGTACGAGCCGGCAGAGCCCCAGGCGAGGGAGGTTGGGCGGCAGAAGCCAAGCGCCTCGGAGTGCCTCCGGGCCACCGCCTGTTCACCATAGTGGATACAGGGAACTGGACCGTGTCGGTGATTGCTGCTGAACGGCCACCTGTGGTAGCCCTGATCTGTGGCCGCGAGGGCGGTATGCTCCGGGCCCTTCTGTGCAGCTGGCGCTTCGAGAACAACTGTCTGTACCGCGAGTGTGTGGTGCGCATGCGGAGCTCACTGGAGCACCTGGCCACGCCGAATGACTGGCTGAAGGTCAGCTTGGCTTGCCAGGGCGATGTGGCTCGCACACGAGTGAATCACCGAAGCTTGGAGAAGCACCAACCGCCTGCGCCCTCTCCTCAGGTTGCTGTTTGGGCGTCAGGATAGTCGCTATGTCGTATCTTCCTATTATGTTGATGTATAATATCATAATGCTTGCATGGTTATATAGTCACTGCGTTGCTGAGTTTTAAACACAAACGGACGAAGAAAATGGCGTACCATATACATTCCCGTCCATGTCGATTACACCCGACTACAGTGGGGTGCAACAAGTATTCGACCACCTTACCTTACCGCCTACTATAAGATTACAGCCAGGAAATGCGAAATCGAAGAATATACGGTAAAATCTAATGGAATAGGGTTGTATCGGCGGGGTTGAGCCAAGATAGCATGCTCGCGATCTGACTGGTCAAATCAAGATTTCAGGAAGTTGTGTAAATCCTTTACCGCAGGCGGTAAGACGATCTGACAAATGCTGAAAGTCACTCGTCAGGTGATAGGGAGCTAGCCAGGTGGCTGGCTACGGTATCTGTAGTTGGCGCCATTCTTTCTGTATCTACAGGCCCGAGCGACGAGTATCCCAACTGCTGACGATAGGTTTTCCAAGATCTTAAGAGCCCCGACAGTCTTGTGCCGCCTTACCTTACATACGAAAGCTTTGCACATTGTCCAGAAGGTCAACATTTTGGAGTCAGGTTATCTTTCGAGGCGATTGCGCACAATGCAACGTTCCTGTTACACTTGTCGCCGGCGGCATGTCGAATGCATGATGGCCCAGCCGCCCTGCAAGAAATGCAAAAAGGCTGGGCTAGAATGTTTCGAGAAAAGGCCTCTTAGATGGGCCGAGGGTGCGACCTATCGAGGGAAAATGGGCACGTTGTCAGCCAAGAATGCATCGGTTCCTTCTACAGCAGCAAGGGGGAACTCCATAACCACGTTGAAAACAGGAGGCCAAACTCTTACTAAGTCTAGAAATCAGTCAACCATAGTTGGTACTGATCCCAAGGGTAATTTTAGTTCTTTTACATGCCATGACGGTGCTCTTGTTGGGGCCCCTCAGTGGGATGTGTCTGTAAATAACGAGACCATCACTAATGGAATCGCCATGGATGATGCAGAAGCCTCGGAACCCACCAGGCTCAGCATACCGTCCAGCCTGGATGATCCGTCCATCATTGGCCTAGAACGAACCTCTAGGTATTATCTATATTATTGTAAGTCTGGTATCGTTCAAGTTGCTTTAAGGACTGTGCCTGAGCAATCTCTGACGCTGACGCAGATAGCAAATGTGTATGCAAGCTGTTCATCATGTATGACAGCAACAGGAACCCTCTAAGAAATTTAATACCTGCTGCTCTGGGCCATCCTGTCCTGTTAATGTCCATTCTTGCTCTTTCAGCGCGACACAAGGCAAATGCAGCTCGAGCGTTCTATCAATCTGAATTAGCAATACATTCCGGACTTGGATTGCAAGATGACAGGTACAATGCTCTTCACTTCAAATACAATGCGATACAGGGACTCTCAAGGGCGGTAGGAACTGCAAGGCCATCCCAGCAAGATATAATAGTTGTCAGCGCGTTCCTCCTGATCTTTCTCGATCTCCTGGAGTCAGGAAGCGACAAGTGGAACTTTCATCTGGAAGGCATCAAGAGTTTAATCGCCCAAATTCCACCATCTTCGCAAGATATGGGAACCACCATCCAAGGATTACGCGACTTCATCCGCAGACAGATTTACTTGTACGTATGCTGATGATGAAACCTTGACCAATAGTACATGCTGACGAACGTAACCGCCTCAGGATCGACACGCTCGGAGCGACATGTACACGTCCTCGGCTACTCTCCTGTTCAAGTATTCCATCACAGTCTGCCACGCCTCTCGAAATGAGTGTTGACAGAGCGTTCCTGGGATGCCCTGAACAAATATTAGGCGCTCTACGCGTCTTTTCAACTTCGAGGGACATTTTTATAAGGTCAGAGCGCTCTGACACGGTTGACTTGTATCCGTACGTGCAGGAAGTAAGGATGATGCTTGACTCTACGCAGAGTTTTGACTGCCACGCCTGGGTCTCAGGTGTACCCCAGCCTCATTCGTTGACCCAGCCCCTTGAAATGCTCGACGAGGTGGCGCAGTCATATAAGTTTGGCGCTCTGATATATGGCAGACGCGTTCTCGATGCTCTGACTGGAGACACGAGTTCGCAACACGATCTCGTTTGTGACTTGATCCGTGCAATTGGCGCTCTTAGGAGCAATGATTCCCTGTTCAAGTGCATCCTGTGGCCCTTGTTTGTTGCAGGATTGGAATCCCAACATGAAGCTCAGAGACGCTTCGTGACTAGTTGTCTTGAAAAGTTTTGGTTTGAGACCAAATGCTTAAATGTGGTTAATGCTGGGTTTATTCTGCGAAGGTTCTGGAAGCGGGAAGATTCCGGAGACATATCCTCATCCCAGTGGATATTCAATATAGGTCAGCTGGAAGGTGACTGGCTCCTTATATAGGTGTTCTGAATCCTCTATTTATCTTCATGGCAATATGATATAGCTAGTATGGTCCGGACATGATCAAGGGATAGGCCTTTATCTCACTGCTCATCAGGGTGCTGGCCACTATTTCCTCATAACATTGATTATCTTTTTTGTATGACACCAAGGCTTGATTTCTTCCTCCTTCTGGATGACGCTGGAGAAGAACGTGCGCCACTCCCGCGGCGGGTGCGCCTCTTGCACCTGGGCGCGAGTTGTATCATGAATCAACTTGCCAAAGTCCTTGACGTATGGGTGTGCCCCGACGTTATCGTAGATTGTGGCAAGCTGGATGAGCTGGCCGATATACGTGATTGTCCCATGAACTCCGATATCCTGGTGTCGGATGATAGCCTCAGCAACCGCTTCTGCCTGGTCTGAGGTAGCGCCAAAACCATCGAGGACATCCAGAGCCTTGATACCACCGTAGATATCAAAGGACATCCGAGTTGCAGTGAGGTTGTGCTCAGCCGTACCGATGTCGTGCAGCAAACAGGTCAAGGCCCAGGTACTGGGGCTAAGCGCACTGGCTTGCTTAGGGAACTGCTGCTTGGTGATAGCCATTCCTAGAGCCGGTGAGTGGATTAGAGAACCTCAATGCGCAGTTCTACATACCGTAGTAGTAAACTCTCATGGAGTGGTTGAATGTCTCAATGGGAAGAGCGGTCTTTGCATATCTCAAAGTTTTCTCGACAATGGGGTCCTCAATTGGAAATTTGATCTCATCGATCGACAGGGCTTCCGGTACGTCGATGAAGGGTTTATCACCAAAGATGGCGCCAGCATTAGCAGGCATGCTGGTCCAGCCATTGACTTGAACGTCGTTTTGACACATGTTGGGAGACGGCTTAGATAGAGTATGAAAATTGACTTCAACCAAGCGCAAGTCTTATGACAGCAAGTACTGGGCAGTAGGCGAGAATGGATCCAACGGTCATTATATAGCCATTCGCCAACCCCCTGGATAATGGTTGAGCCGATTTAATTTGATTTGTAATGTTGACCAAACTAAGAGACCGAACGCCATCCAGTACAGGCAGTACTGAGTATGCTACTATTATTCTCATGATTTTCTCAGACCTGATTATTGCCGTCGGACTTGAGGGAGAATCATAAACTTCTCATAATCTGATGTTACCTAAATAGGAAGTCTTTTGGAGTGGGCCTCATTGATTCTTCAGCCCCACGTCATAGCCCCACGTCATAGCCCCACGTCATGGTGCTAAGACTCTGGCTCGTGCGCACATCAACTCGCTTAACTTATGAGTACGGTCTTACTAAGACTACCATCATCACAACTGGCAGAACCATCTAACCAATATACCGGATTGGTAATACCACTACCCAGCTAGTAGGGTCACCGCTAGAGGGTGGATCTAGAACGGGCGAAATGACCGCCGCCTCTACGGTGCTTGGCCATGTACACATATGAAAGGCAGGTGTAATAATTCCCACAATACTTGTAAAGATACCACTTATCTCTAGGACGCTGCTAGTCAAGAAGGAGACTATCAGCAAATAGAAAATATCAAAATTCTGTTGTTAGCATCAGCAGTTTTGTCAGAAGTTCGGTATTCAACTAGTATTTGTATGCCGAGATAACCGTCTGAAAGGGTTCGATCTTCTCAATCTAGTGGCTATCTAGGTGATCTGTAACAACGATATGGAGCGAACATGAAGCCATCCAAATCACCATCTCATAGATCACCTCACCTCGATCCAGATATCCGAAGACCACCTAGACGAGTCCTTCAGATAAAGAGATCCACATAGATCAAGGTGACTCGTGACATATGGAGCACCACGTCAGCTTCTTAATTTTAGTTTCTCTCCCTTCCAACCACCGCCTATGAGAGCTAGCTGTATTAGAAATCCGTTTAGAGTCTCCAACACTGTATTTAAAACCATCACCTCGGGCCTGCATTTGGAGAAGCGTGCTTGCAAATCTGCACCCAAGTCGGGCATATCAAAGAAGACATCAAAAATCTTTCGCAATGCAGGCAATTCGTGTGGGTTCGGCTCCTTCATCTACCGCTCCGTATTCATCCTCGAATCCGGCACCGTCGTCAGCCTTGTATCTCGATCAAAACGTGCCTATTCCAAAGCTGTCAAAAAAAGACGAACTCATTGTCCGTGTCAAGGCTACAACGGTGATTCGTGACATGTTGACGTGGCCCGAAACCTATCGTCAAGGGCATGCCATACTCGGAAACGACCTGTCGGGTATTGTCGCGGAGGTTTGTTCGGAGGATTGCAAGTTCAGACTGGGAGATGAGATTTTCGGAATGGCGAATGTGAATCGTGCATCTGCATGGGCCGAGTACTGCATCGTGGAGGAGAATGAGGTTGCGTTGAAACCAAAAAGTCTGTCCTGGGAACAAGCCGCGGCTATTCCCCTTAGTGCACAGACAGCGTACGAGGCCTTATTTGACCATGCGAGTGTTCCTGTACCGTCTGTTGAGGATGCAGCGAGAAACAGATCTCGAACCTCCGGCGAAGGACAGCACCGGCTTTTGATCACCGGTGCCGCTGGGGCAGTTGGAGTCTATCTTGTCCAGCTGGCTTTCCTTGCTGGACTCCACGTTGTGGCTGCCACGAGTTCGAATACTCGCAACGCAGAGTTCCTTCGAGGGCTCGGTGCTCACGAGACTGTCGAGTACGGCATGTTGGAGAGTCACAACGGTGCTTACGACATCATTATTGATACAGTTGGAGGTAGCGTGTTGGCCAAGTGCTGGAAATATGTGAAAGAAAACGGCACGCTTTTATCCGTGGATTCGGCGAGCTACAAGTTTGCCGAGGATCATGAAAAGCGTGGTATACGTAGGGAGGGCGTCCGCGCTTTATTCTTTATTGTCGAAGGAAGCAGCAAAGCTTTGCACTATTTGGCTGAACTTGCGGACTCGGGTTTTGTACGTCCTTTCGTTGCTGGGACGTATCCCCTTGAAAAAGCACAAGAGGCGTACGACATTGCCAACGGAAGGCATCCTGGGCGTGGAAAGATCGTTCTTACCATCTGAACAGACGGATGGCCATACGACATTTGTCCACTGAAGACCAAACGCGAGTCCCTCAATGTACCTATTCCGCCAGCTCCATTTGTTGAGGAATTAGAGATTATACGCAAACATTGATGGTACTGATTACTAAAACCTTCACAAGTGCAACGGCCGTGTAAAACTAGGCTGGATTGGTGTAACTGTTGAATAACAATCTAAGTGGTGCTTAACTGCACTGATTTTTCTTTGACTGAGATCTACTGGTCTGATAGGAAATGTAGTCATCAATATGACACGCAGCAGGTGCTTCGAGGTCAGAGAGCCAAGTAAATATAACCCTCTTCAGTGACAGGCGCACTCCTTAACGTCGTCTCAATCTATTATAGATGTCTTCAATCTCATTGCCCGTCAGTTGTTCCACACGCTCATGTGAAAGTCCGTCATCCATCAGGTCTCTTTTTGCCGAGTCCCCGCTAGTGTCCGCCAACTCTTCAGTAGCTAGTTCAACTGGACTTAGTTAGAAAGAACATATCTGCAGTCCATATTTAGAATTTAGTCTCACCATGACAATGCACAGCCGCTGTCTTTCCGCTGGACATAGCGTGGGGAACATTGGTGCTGTTGTCACTGTTGGCATCACCAATGCCCCACACTCCTTTAACAGTTGTTCGCAGACCGCGAGCTGTTGTGTTGATTTTGCTTCCCAAAAACCCTACACCTAGCTGGCTCGGCAGCTCGGAAGCTTGTAAGGTTGCGTAGTTTGTAATGAAAGCACCCCGTTCCTCGAAGGTTTCATCCGTGAAATAGACTCGGAACTTGTCGAACTCTTCACGACTCGCCTGAGTCTGGGTGACACTCCCGTCCTGGACGCGTGTGATATTCTGGATCGGCTTGTCGATAGTTGTGACATTGTATGCCTTAAATACTGCTTCCCAATTCGGATCCTTGCTGACAATGCGCGCGAGTTGGCCAGGATTGTTGGTACCGTTGGAATAGACTCGTATATCCTTGTTGAGCGTTGGATGCAGTTCTCGGACGCTATCATAGGCATCTGATAGGTTTCCGAGGACGCCTATTGGCTGGTCGCGGTGCTCGAAGCCATCACACCACGGGCACCAGAAAATACCCTTGCCAAAGGCGTCACGGAGCCCGGGGACATTGGGAAGGTCATCTTTCAGTCCGCTACCCAAGATCACCTTGCGGGCTGTAAACGCTGTGCCATTGGCCAGTGTAGCACTGAAGCTGTTGTTGATAGGCTGAATGTTTGTAACCTTTTGATCCACAAAGGTTGTCACGTTGTAAAAGGATATTTGCTTCCTTGCTTCGGCTCGGAAGTCGGCGGGCACAACATCTGATTGAGTGTGAACCAGGGCCGTAGGCAAGGAGGATGTAGTTATAACAGATACATACGGTCGTTACCAATGACATCATGCATATGCCTTGTGGGATTGTTCCGGTACTCTCCGGAGTCGAACAATATTACTTTTCTCATGACACGCGACAATGCACTGGCTGCACTGAGGCCAGAAGGTCCACCGCCAACCACAATCACATCATACTGCGTCTGATTGGCCTGCCCTAAGCAGGCAGTCAAGAAAGTAAATAAGGCGAAAAGTGCCCTCGAACCAAAGACAAACATTGTCATTGGCCGTGCATCAACCAGAGACCGGTGGCTCCAGATGGTATCGAAGAAGGAGCAAAAGCATGAAATGAAGATGAAGAGAAGCAAGCAAAGACTGAGAAATGAAGCAGAAGTGCCGTATATATATCTGAGGAGTATAGTGTTTTGACGTCATTGACTTAGTTTCAAAACAACAGCGATGGAACACTATGCAATGAACGTTGCACCGTGAGGTCACATATCATACAATGCAATTCAAATCGTAGCAGGAATAACTTGGCTGCAATAGTTACTAAGCATACTAACTTATAACTATGTCGCGGCAGAGACGATGGAATTAGAACCAAATAACGACGTCATAGTTGGTGATAAACTGTATGAACCAGCCGTAGTTCGAGTGGAGATACTCAGCTTGAAGGCCTCATGAGAGTCATCTTGCACCACTTCGCAGAGCAGGGCTTCTCGAAAAGTCCTTTAACATTCCGAGACCGCCGTATCTCACCTCGGTCTCTCCGACAGGTTGGTCGCAACACGGAACGGCGATGCGAAGTGGGAAGTAATGCATGTTGTCCTGCGAAGAAGAATTCTCCAATGAAACCATCAGTTAATAATAGGACGAGTCGACAGTCGTACCTGCATGTCCGCAGAGGAGCTGAAGCAGATTGCAGACCTGGCTCAACACCGAGGCTGCTACGTTCTCGTCCATGAGATGTACGCGCAGCTCATGTATTTCGACTGTTTGCCCGGGTGCACCTCCTAGGCCCCCAAGTTATAAGTGTCGGCTCCAGATAGATGTTGGACACGACCCGCCAATAGTGAGGGTGTCGCGTTCAGCCCGCCCTCCACTGGGGCTTCAAACAGTACATTTCATTAAGGTACGATGCAAGGCGGGAGCACAATCAATGCCGTTGAAGCTGGCAGACTGTCCGTAATATTATCTGTGTAATTGTTGAGAGTTGTCTTATACTTTATTGAACAGTCAGGTTGAACGTCAGAATTCTCAAGAACATCAAAGCATGTTCATTATAGCAGTCCCCTTTCCATGCAGCAGCCCACGCATGTTACAGGTAATGTTAGCCTCTGGCAATAGCAACATCGAGGCTTGGTTGAGAAAAAATGGCAGTGAAATTTAGAAGTATATTTTAGTAATAAAGGCTTGTACTAAAGGGTTTAACCTCTATCACTAGAGCTCCAGAGGGTCTGCACCACCCTAGC